AATCAGGAGCCTCGGATTTCCCGCTCTTCGCTAATCCGATCGGTGCTCTCTCCGACGTCCGCTTTTCACACACGTTGTACACACACTGTGCAGGGAGAGGGCCCCCCTGCCTTCCCGCCGCTCGCTACTCCGCCCCACCCCTTACCTGCCTGCTGACCAGTGTGTGTTTTGGTTGTCTCCTATCCGCGGTGGCTTAGCAGCCCCGTCGTGACCACGTGATTACAACCCAAGTCACGGCGCCGCAGTGCACACTAGCCTCGGGGGAGGTCGCCCAATTCCCTGGTCGTAGGAAACCGTGAAGTTTGGTCCCATGAGGGGGCTTCGGCCAGGTGACCTCCCCTCGGGGCTCTATGTGGGGGTGTGTGTGTGTTCATGTGGGGGGTGGTGAGGGAAGAGCGGCGTCGGCCCCGTCGCTCGGAGGTGGCGGTGGCGCGGCCACGGCGTCGGCAGGACGGCTTCGCTGCTGCGGCATCACAGTGGCAGGCACGGCTCCGACGGAGCGGCTTCGCTGCTGTGGCACCACACACCATCATCAGCAGAATATGAATTACTGCAGTCACGAAAGCTTTAAATCAAAATTTTCTTTTTTTGTTCACAGTTCAGGTTGCTGTGACTTGTTTTACCAGTGGTGTTAACCCTCGAACCTTACGTGGGGAAAATACTGCACGTTAGTCGGGGGAATGTGGTGCAAAAGTGAATTCAAAAACTACATGAGCAGATAGCTCGTAGTAGGAGGTGTCCACTGCACATTTCGTCATTTGTTGTTTCCACTTTCCTCTCTGTCTTGGCTCTAGTAGTGGTCACATCTTCTGGCACCAATCTCTTAATGATGTCGTCGTCAAACCATTCTCTGTTACCTCTTCCTCTCTTGCCGGTTCCTTCCATTTTTCTGAACAACACACTTTAAATTGTCCTGTTGTTGTCCAAAGAGTGGCAGTTTCCTTCTCATCACTGCCTGCATCATCATCAGGTTGTCTTTAACTACGTGCAACCTTTTTCTCACTTCTACGTTTGTCACTCTTTGGGTCCAGCTAAGATGTGGCATCCTGTAGCAATACATTTCGAGTGCCAATATGTTATCTCTGTTAGTCTTCTTTTAATGCCCAAGTCTCACAGACATGCAAATAAAGCTGTTACTGAACCCGCATGGTCTTAAGATGTTCAGCTTGGTCTTGCAACAGATGTGCTTGCTTCTCCAGAAGCTGGGGTGATCACGTGGCCAGTTGGAGATCCTCATCGAGAATTCGAGGTGGTCGTGGCTAGGGGCGGAGCGAGCCCCGCCACACAGAATATCAGCCTGGCCCCCAGTGGGACCGGCTGCTGTTGTTCATTCAGAAGACTTCACGTCCCTGCTCCACGTTCTAAAGAGTCTCCAACTTTGAGGACCCGGACCCGAGCTGTGGTCCGGTCCGTTGTAGCTAGTTACGTGTGATTAGTGTGGATAGCCTGGTTGTCCACCACCATAGAGTACTATCTGGTGAAGGGGCAGTTACCCCTTCGTGTTAACGTGGTAATGTTAATAAATGTGTTGCCTCCAAAAGTACGTCTGAGTTTCCGTTTGAGCTCACTACACATCTATCATATCAAACTATTTTGCAGCGTAATTAACAGCATACATCTTACACAACTAACACGGTCAAACATGTACCCTTTAAATGAATGCATTTCCCGCTCTGATAAACTTCAAACTGCAGCGTGTTTATCGAATTGTTGTAGAGGGTCGTGGTTTGTTTCAGTTGATTTATTTTGGTATAGCCCTGTGAGCCATTCGGCTCTTGAATCGGGTGCAGCCACAACAAACAAAAAAAAACAAAAACACGAACAAGAAAAACATCTTAAAGTGACTATGTGACTTTGCAAACAGAAAATCCATGAAAAACAGCAAAATATTCCTGAAAAAGCACCGTACACCAACGCTATGTGCAAAAATCCCAGTGGGATGCAAGTCAAACAACAACATTAACCACAGGAAAATTTAGAATAAGGCCATCAGTCTAACTCCGTACTACAACAAAACAAACATGTCCAAACCAAAAAACGTTTTCGAAATAAAAAAAAATGAAGCCATAATTGCAACATGACAGTGATCACAGGGACTGTGACCGAATATGTACAATAAACTACATAAATAACATGTAACACCAAATCATAGAGCCATAGGTGGCTGCATGAGTTACTCCACAACAACAGAAGCATCAGTCGGAGTAGCAAATTTTTCAATGCACCTTTAAGATCAGCACGCTAAATCAAAATACAGATAATACTTTGCAGCGTCATCTGGAGCGAAAACATTTTATTTTATTTTACGCCAATGAATAGCAGTGGCAGCTAGGGGTGTACAACTCCTCTAGAGCAGTTTTGAGAGAATATCTCATTGGTAGCGATTCAAGTTGCAGTTTATTGGCAATAGCATTCCAGACCCTGGGGGCATCAATAGCAAAGGCCCTTCCTCCAGTTTTTGTACGGCAATAGGGAATGTGAAGCTGGTAAATGAGTGAAGACCTGAGGTCAAATTTGTTCTTTGAAACAGAGAGGAGATCCAGCAGGTAGTCTGCGGATATTTTTTGTAAGTGCTTCGAGCAGATGTAGCTGAAAGTAGGATAGAGCACCTTGAGGAGCGTTGCCCTCGACCCCCTCCGGGAGGCTGTACGCTTTCACTTGGCACTCCCGTCCCTTACCGGCCAGTCTGTTGTGCGCCTCCTCAAGCTCCAGCAGCCTGGCTTCGTGGGTCTTCATTTCGCCGCTCTGCTCGTCTAGCGTAGTGTGAAGGGTCGTATATGGCTGCCTCCTGCTTCTCTACCCTCCTCAAAAGTTTCTCGACCTCTCGTTGGGGACCTGAAGCAGGCCAGTATTCTCTTCGGTTTTTTTTTCCAGAAGGGATTATAAGAGCTCTCGTTCCTCCCACTCGTGTCTTCGGTGTCAACTTGAACGGAGAGGCCAGCGGAGACGAACCCGTGGCTTTTTTCCCGGGGGATCTGTCTTCAATGGAGCAGGACGATACGGAGAGGAAGTCCCCTTGGCCTAGCCATGAGGTCAGGCTCGAGTTGCTTACTGAGGCGCCTACACCTAAGCAGTCTGTGGAACACCCTAGGAAGCTCTAAAGTAGAAAACAAGCTTTTCATAGGCCCCCTATAAAGTGCTCACTCGGCCATGACTTCACCGGAACTCGTTTAATTAACACTTTTAAAATAAAAAAATCACGACGCAAACTGAATATTTGATTCCGAATCGGTTTAATCACCACCACCATGACGCAGTAGCAAGGCTGGCACATCGCAGTGCAGCTGCTGGGCTGAATCATGTAAATAATCAAACCTAGAAATATCCTTGATGTACCCACAAAAGTCACATTGAGTCTCGGGACTCAGCTCCGTTTTGCATTAAGGTGTTTGATCATTTCCAAGCATCAGGGTTCCGCACGGAGAAGGAAACAGGAGAAATGCACAAATGTTGAGAAGTTTGCTTGGCGTTAGAAGTCAGTACAGAAAATTTGGCCCCACACCTATCACAATAACGAATCAGTGTTTTACGGGGGCACGCTAAGCGAGGTCTGCCTGTATTAAAATGTACTTCCATCTACGAATCGTGATGTAACAATTTTTACGTGTAACATGCCCCACGGTTTTTCTTGATCTAGAAGGAGAGAGAACAACTGATGATCTGTGTGCTGACGATGGTGGTGATGATGATCTCGTAATGGCTGTTCACTTCGAGGAGTGGGAGAGTCTGATGGAGAACCTTGATCGTTCCAATAAGAGGTAGGGCCTTACCATTTGCCCTACCAAATCTAAGCAGTACCTGCCTGGATATTTTGTATATCTTCAAGTACTCCACCCCCCTCAACTCCGCATGATAGGCAGTTGTGGAAAGAGTGGAGGTGTTCCCATACCTGGCCAATTTGGTTATGACCAGCTCCGATTTCAGAGCAGAGGTCTTACTCTGAATTAGTCCAGGAACATACCCTTTTTTTCAGCTGCATGGCGCTGTATAGAAGCTACATGGCCTATCACTCTGTAGTGACTTGTAGCGTCATTCCCGTGCACACACACACGCGTGACGTCACTATGCGGGGGAGCTTCACTACCACACGGGTCTACACATACACACATGACGTCATCCCGTCTGGATACGGGAATGACATCATGGCCGGTTCAGGGGATCTGGAGGCCGTGGGTGAGTGCCGCGGGGGTTGTGTGAGGCCGTGGCACTCTTGAGTGAACCCGGCTGGACACGAGACGGGATTTAAGGTTGGGGCCGGGGCCCCAGGGGCACCTTGGGTGCCACGTGGACAGGAGAGGAGCTTCTCGAGAGTTCTCAAAGGTGGGCGTGGCCGGGGTGTGGCCCGGACACCCCGAGGCGCATATAAGCGGCTTCCGCACCGGGTTCGGGGCTGCTCGTGTCCGGGAAGAAGATGCCTCATGAAGACGCCTCGTGAAGAAGAGTCAAGCCTCAAGTCAGCGTGGCCAACCAGTAGCCCTTCTGGCTTGGCCACGCTAGTATCCGAGAGTCAAGTGTTAGTGAGTGATGGTGTGTGTGAGCGAGAATAGGTCGGTGGTCACCACCCTATGTTAAGTGTTGCGTTGTGTTAATAATAAATAGTGTTGCCTCCCAAGAAGTTGCGAGTGTGCCTAATTCGAATCCATTACAACTCCATACAAAACTCTGTTTTTGTTCTTCCATAGTTGTCCTCTCCCTCCCAACAATGCTCTCTCGAAAGCAAAATGTGGCCATTATTTCGGCGTGACAAACACAACATTGAAAGCAAAACATCAAAAGTGTAATGACTACACGAAAGGCAAGAACCTCAGGGTCCAACAGTTTATTTCTCAAGGGATATTGACAAATGCAGAGCCAGGAGTGGTGGAGGTGGTTCGGCCTGCAGATGCAGGGGTGGTATCGATGGATCGACCGACAGATGCAGGGGTAGTGGCGGTGAATCTTCTAGTAGTAGCCGACCGTTGGAGTTCTCGAATAAAATTACGCAATTTGGCGATCCTTTGGGCTTTGGCACAGGCGGTGGTGGTGGCACCAATGTTGATGGTGGTGGATCTCCCGGCAGAAACTGGGGAGGCAGTGGTGCATCTACCAGCATGAGCTGGGTTGGTGGTGGCAGTGAGGGAGCTGCCAGCAGCAGCTGGGGTGGCAGCGTTAGATCTCGTGGCAGCAGCCGGGGGGTTGGATCTGTATGTGGCGACCGTGGTGGTAAAGGGGGCGATTAATCTCCAGGCAGCAGCCGGGGTGGTGGTGACGGTGAGGGAGCTGCCAGCAGCAATTGGGGTGACAGCGTTAAATCTGCCAACATCAAGCGCCATAGCGGTGGGGGTGAATAATATGCCAGAAGCAGTCGGGGTGGGGGTGTTGATGCATCTCCCAGCAGCATCCCTGGTGGTGGCGGCGGAACTGCATGTGGCTGCCAGGGTGGCGTTGGAGGCAGTGGTGGTGTTGGTGGAGACCGTGGCCGTGGCTTTCTCCAGCTCGTTGAGCTGTCGACGCATCATCTCCAACTGCAGATGGAGCTCTGCATTTTCCCGTTTGTATCCTTGGGTACAGGCAAATCATCAACAGTTTGGTCAACATTAGCCTCTACATGAGCCTTCTAATCATCGCAACTCTTCAAACTATATCGCTTATATAATGTACATAATTTCAGTCACACCAAAAATTACATATAACACATCAGGGCTGTGGCAATTACAGCTTCGTAATAGCAATATCTTGCCTGTCCACAGAAGCCCATGAACTAACGTTGCACATACAAACCCACAGACTCAGAGGCCCGTAGACTGAGTCACATATAGCGGAGAATAGGGGCAGGAACGCTGTGGTGGAAGTGAAAATATGAACCCAACTGCGTCCTTCTCAATGGAACCAGGGACAAAAGTGTCATCATAGGCTTTCCTTCGCAGTCGAGGATTAATATCTTCCATAGAAAAGTTGGATTTTCTGTGGGTCTAAAGATGGATGAAGAGACCAACCTGGGATCGACAGATTCTGCCGCAACTTGGGCACGTGTCCAGAAATAGTGGTGGGTGGAACTGCGTTAGTAAGTCGGGCTGCAGCATGCTGTTTCCACCAGTCCCGCTTTTCCTCTTCCTGTTCCTGATGTTGAGTTTCAAAATGTTTGGCTCCTTGAAATAGACTCTGTCTCCACCTGAGGTGATCCTGGGCAAGAGACTCCCATGAGTTGGTGTCGATGGAGCACTTCTTCATGTTGTCCTTGAGGACATCCTTGAAGCACTTTCTCTAACGGCCTTCATCCTCCCACTGAATGAAGTTTGACAGCTTTTCATTTGGGCATTGGTGGAAGAGGTCTTGCTTAATCGAGTCCTTGAGACCTTCAATGTTAAAATTCTGTAGGCATCTCTTCCAAAACAGCTGTCATTTGGGAGCCAGTTGTATGGACATGGTTGAGCAGGTGAGTCGATGATCAGTCCAGCAATCATCAGCTGCTAGAACAGCCTGGGTGATGCAGATATCTGTGCGATCCCGGGCATGGACAATGACGTAATCTATCAAGTGTCAGTGCTTCGATCACGGATGATGCCATGATGTTTTATATTTGTTTTTATGGCGGAACAGGGTGTTGATGATGATGAGTCCATGTTCCGTGCATTTAGTCAAGAGGAGGATGCCGTTGGAATTGACTTTATCCATTCCTTCCTTGCCGATGGTTCCATTACAGAGGTTTAAGTCTCTTCCAACTCTGATATTAATATCAACGAGCAGAATAAGTTTGTCTCCCACGAAAACGGGAGAAAGGACCTGGTCAAGATTGGCATAAAATTCCTCTGTGGTTTCATAATCGGAGTGAAGAGTCGGGGCATATGCGCTGATGACAGTGGAATATTGGCTCCCCACCACTTTGAGGATGAGGCGCTCACTGATTCTGATAGTTTTGTTTCCACCGCAGTAATGGGGATCCTTCTGAATGTGGTTATCCAGTCGGAAAAGAGTGAGACAGACTGTTAAGGGAAACTTTTTTAGCCCGTTCCCCACGTGGGGTGAGCAGAGTGGATCCTTAAAAAGGACTGCTTAGTCGCAGTTACAGAAACACACTCTTTTCTCCACCGAGTGTTAGACGACCATCTTGTAGCTGCCGCCTTTGTGCTAGTTTGTGGCTAGAAGCTTCCAGACTTCACAATCGTGCTCCCGTCGTCACTAGCTGGTCGCCAAAGAATTGTATTGAATGTGCCAGAAGATATTGTTCCTTTAATGAAACACGCCTGTACGTGATTTATTTTATTGTGGAGAAGCTGTTGTACAGCAGCTTCCACGCAGTTCTTGATAGAACGGGCCCATGAATGCAATGGCAAGGAGATCAATACGATTGGAGATATCGTTCTGCTGCTGTCTTGGTCCGCCTTCACAGCTGTTGAGATGTTAACATCTTGTTCCTCCTGCTCTATTGAGGACTTGTTAACCCATGGTATGCTTATTATAATGGTGGCCTATACTCGCCATGTCACAGCATAGTTAAAGGGTATATGTCGCTTTTCAAGAGGAAAAGCATTGGAATCTACAGTCCTAACCACACCCAGGTGGTGCTGTCGCTGCTTGGTACACAACTGCTTATCCGCCAGGGTGGCCGCTGCTTATTTTGCAGCTAACCTTGACAGAAGGTCGTTCCACTATCCGCCACCTGCGGAGATGCTGGGTAGCAGTGCAGGTCTACCACCAAATTGTAGTGGCGGATTATCAATATATATCTACATACATAATTCACAAGTATGAAAACATAAGAATAGGTTTTACCCTTTCTGGCATTAAATCAGGTGTTAGGATGTTCAAACACCAAATAAATACCTTCGTAAGGAATCAAGTCTGCATTCACCACACACACTTGTGGAGAACATGCAAACAAACATCCTCTGATAATATATAGTCTTTGACATTGATTGGCCTACACCAGAGACAGTCTTCTTTATGGCCTAGCCTCACCAGTATTAGACCAGAGAACGCAAAAAGGCGAATAGTACAAAGACAATGCCCTATCAGAGCATTTATAGCACGGGGCGAGCAGCTATATCATGAGACCTCTTTGCCAGTATCAAAGTATGAAAAATAGGAATAGGTTTTACTATTTCTGGCAATAAAACAGGTGTTAAGATGCAAGAGTCGGTCATCTTACGGATCTCGCAAATGGAACAAGGGAGAAAAACGTAGGGACAATTGTGTAACATGCCTGCGAATATGTTATTGTATTAAATGAAGGTGCAGCTGAAACAGGCAAAATATGATCATTTCTGAGTCAATGCCTGCGCCCCGCCTTGTGCTCAGTCTCAGTACGGTCCAGGTCCAGTTGACTGGGCTCCATGACCCAGTCAACGCAGCCTCGATTTCTGGAGGAGCTCAATGATGGGACTGTGTCTTGATTTTTAAAAGGTTCTGTGAGCTCGCACAATCCAGTGTCTCTCCACAACCGGCCAGCCTGAATGTATCAAAACCAGGCCCAGATATTCCTTTAGAAGGCTCCACGTTTCTCAAGAATAGAGATGGGAGGTTATAACTGTGGCCAAGAAGACCCGAAGCTTTGTATGGAGTCACAGGCTAGGTATCTTACACAGCTCATGAAAATATAATGCTGCTCGAATAAGTCAGATTGAGACCTTGGCTGCCAAACTCAAGTTGGTTATTAGCAGACTGCCCAAATACAGAAACTTCAAACTCTCTCCACAACTGCCCCATCACACGTGCATACATACAGACAAACAGACATGCACATAGACCCTAAGACTCACAAGACAAATAGATGTGTACAGAGACACTTAGACTTGCAGAGATCCATTGACTTAGAATGAGACCCATGTATGTGCATACAGGCCAATACACACACTGAAATGAATATACTCACCTACACGGAGAACCACAGAAGCACATAGACACATAAACACGCTCTGAGGCACGCTGACACGCTCAGAGACACATTGACACGGAAACAAAAAGACACATCCTCCATATAGCCTTAACAGACTGTTGGGGCAAGTGTAGTTAACTAAAACCTATGAAGGCCGGCACGTATATGAGGGGGTGGGTGGCGAACACCACGTCCGATCGCCTTTATCTCCCCAGTGGCAATGTTTTTACACGCTATACCAGGTACAAATTTGAGGCTAAGTCGACCTCAGGGAGGGCCAGGACTGGTTTAGATAATTATTACTGGTGTTAGCCATGAGCGGGTATCGAACTCGGGTCGTCGGGTGTGTAACGCAGCGCGCTAACCGCTACCCCACCGTTCCCCACATAAACACGCACACGGATCCATGGACACACACATAGACTGATGATAGAATCCCTTACACAGAGATTTACAGGTGCACATAGACACACACTGAGACCGAGAGATGTGCACAGGGACACATAGAAGCACACATATATACTTAGACACGCAGAGCCACTGAGGTGCACACAAACACAGACTCGCACATAGCCCTTGAGACTCACGACTCACGTCGAGACCGATATACGCGCTTACTGTAGCTATTGTTGACGTAAAAGTAGAGCACGGCCCAGAACATCACGGACGCTGCCGTGAACGCCAAGATTGCAGCCATCACTGCGTCGATGCCCGTGGAGGGGTTAGCTTTTGGGGGCAGCTCGCAAGGGCAGCTGTCGCAGGGATTCTCAACGACATCTCCTTCTTCTCCTCCTACAGTGCTGATCCAGTTGTACAACATTCGCCAGAGGAGGTCAAGCAGCACCTCGGAATTCCCCATCCTCGCTTGCGAGCTGCTGCGCGTGTCTGACCGTTGTCCCCGAGTGGCGTCGCAAGAGTGACGTCACGGTCACGTGAACGTGACGTCACCGCAAGTTTCCGGTGGGGGCGTTCCCCTAGAGCACGGTCACGTGGGCTACTGCAGCCACGCTGCTTGTTACGTAACAGAGCGGCGTTTTGAACCCCACTCTCCACCTCTACTAGGGGAACTCGATTGTTCAGGGTGCTGTGTGGACTTCTCTTTAGCGTGGCCGTTGCTGCTGCTGCTGCTGCTCACGCATGAATACACTGGCGGCGTTGTGTTATTCACGACGTGACAACTTTCATTGGCTATGTCGGGTGGAGGAGGGGTGTACGAAACTAAGAGTGTGCGTTCAGAGACAAATCCGTGTAGGACAGACAGGGGGCCGTCCATAAATGACGTCACGCGATTTTGGACGATTTTTTTGACCCCCCCCCCCTCGTCACACGGCGTCACAAAAAGTCAGACCCCCCCCCCTCAAATATGACGTCACAAAGTGCTGCTCCCCCCTCCCCAAAAAAAATATATAAAGCATGCTTCAAATCGCTTAAAACTATTGTCATTGTTGTGCGTATTTAATGTGGCGCTGCACTCTGATGTTATAGGAGAAAACATTTACTACAAAGTCTATTTAATTAAGTAGAACGTGTTGTGTCTATATTTATTTAAAGTTGCGCATTTTGATGTGACGTCACATTTCTCAACCACCCCCCTCGTCACACATCGTCACAAATGTCTGACCCCCCCCCCCCCCAGGTGCGTGACGTCATTTATGGACGGCCCCACACTTGTTGTCTGATCGTCTTTGTTGTTGTTTATATTTTCCTCAGGGACTGTTGTATATTATTATTTAGGGGTTTTTTTGTCGAAATGTAACTCAACGTCTTTAACACAAGCGGCCCGCTTTCTTTGCAAATTAGTTGTAACATTTAATTTCGTTATATACTGTGCACATTTAAACAATAATAATAATAAAACGTTCATAGCAAGGCGCGCGCTCGGCTCTGAGGTAATAACATTTTAAAATAAAAACCGCCACGCACGTGACCACGGAGACACCGCCCCCACCCCCCTCCACCGGTGGGGGGGGGGGGGTCTCGCGCCCACTGCTCCCTGCCCATAAAAGGGCTTGAGACGTCACGACCCAAGCCCCTCCCAAACTCTACGCGCCTTGCAGTCCACCAGCATTGGTTCCAGCAAGGCTGACGCTGCTGCTGGTGACACACTGAACGTTAGCGTCTCTGATTAGTGTGGTTGGCTATATACGGTGCAAAAGAAATTCAACATACATACATACAAACGAGAGATGGTGCCTTACCATACGGCATACGCCCTACCAAATCGCAGCAGTACCTGCCTGAATAGTTTATGTCTTCAAGTACTCCCACCCCCTTCAACTCCGCATGATAGGGCAGTTAAGGAAAGAGTGGAGGCGTTCCCATACCTGGGCAGTTTCGTTATGACCAGCTCCGATTTGAGAGCGGAGGTCTTACTCTGAATCAGTCGAGTGGTATAACCTTTCTTTTTCAGCTGCATAATGCTGTAAAAACCTACATGGCCTATCACCCCAAAGAAAGCTCCGGTTTTTTCCTTCCACAGTTGTCCTCTCCCTCTCAGCAATGCTCTCTCGAAAGCAAAACGTGGCAATTATTTCGGCGTGACAAACACAACATTGAAAGCAAAACATCGAAAGTGTAATGACTACACGTCACGGTCCAACAATTTATTTCTCGACGGGTTTAGAACATAACAAGAGAATTAACAATTTGAACAGCAGTTTAGATATCCGTGTGTTTGCGTGTGTTGTATCTGCCGATTTTCAGTTGGTGGCTATTAAAATTAACAGCCATCAGTTAAGGTTAGGATAGGGTCTCAGGAGTAAGGATTTATAATCAGGAATCAGTGGGTCTAAGCAATAAGGATGCCTGGTCAGGAAGGACTGGGTCTATTGGAAGTAATTTACATATCCGTTTATTGGGTCTTCTTAGGCTATTTTGTCACCAGTGGTGATGGAGGTCGATCTGATGGCGGTGGTGGCGGGCGCTTAGGTGGCGTTGTCGGTGGTGGATCGGCCTGCAGACACGGGGGGTGGTGGTGGATCTTCCAGTGGTGGCTGACCAGTGAAGTTCTCGAACAAATTCATGGAGTTTGCCTTACCAAGTGGCTTTGGCACCAGCAGTGGTGGCGGTGGCATCGGTGTTGATGGTGGTGATGGATCTCCTGGCAGTGATCCGCTATATTGTTTGAGTGTTCGAGGGGCAGATTAAGGACCCCTTTAGATTTGTGTGTGGGCTTTTACGTAAATACCTGATTCTATGAAAGCCACGCATGTGAAATTGTTGGTATTCCTGAAGTTTAGCATGTATCTCTCAAGCTCAGAAGCTGTGACACAGAGCCAATTAAAGCGATTTCTGACAAGGGTCACCTACCCTAGCCAGGGCACTGCTGTGGTGCAATCATTAGCACTAGCGCAGTTGCCAATACGGAGGTCGACGGTTTGAATCGACCTCCCGGCATGGCAGTTGCAATCATGGTGCAAGTTTCTTAAATCCTACCTGCCTGTGGTTTAGCCTGGGTGGGGGAAAACTAAGTATTGTTGTGTAAGCTCACGGAGCCACATGGTGCATTAAGTTGGGACACAGACCTGGGCCTAGGTGCTGTGCTGGGCCAGTACTTTACTGGGCCGGCAGAGCCGGCTTCCCAATGGCAGTGGAAACCAGGCATAAGTAGACTGGCCACATCCTACTTAATCAGAATAACAAATAGCAACACTGAAACCTATTGGCAGACCAATTAATGCCCACTTGCAGGCCGGTGCTCTGTTCACTTTGTCTTGCAAAGGGCAGCTGCCATTAGTAGGTCCCCTAGGCTAAACAATCCCGTTATAAGACATGGGTACAATATGAATGCAAGTACTGTATTAGAATGATCTTGAGTTTCAGTCCATCTTCCCTACAGGGTCAATAAAATACGTACCACATTGTGGGGACGTCAACAACGGTTGTCCGACGATGGAGAGACTCGCGCCTAGCATAGGATTGTGAAATTTCCATCAAGGGCTCATTGCTGTAAAACAGGAGATAATCGCTGTCTTGTCTCATTTGAGCAGGAAATGTCTTAACTTTTAGGTTGCCTCTAACCCAGTGGCAGCAGCATAACTATCGTGGGGGCAGGGGGTGTCTTGCCCCCCCCTCCTCGGTAGCCAAAGCTACGAGTTGGGGGGGGTGCATCAAAGATTAAAAATTTATTTAAAACATGGTTTAAATAATTTAAAAAAAATAATTTCATGTACTTTCCTCGTTTTAGTTGAATGTAATTAGAGCGGTAACATAATATGGCAAAGATGTTACTGTGGAGCTGTAGTCGCGGTTTCATTGTGCGAAAGCGGAGCGCCCCTACAGCAATAAATGTTCGAGACCGTGAGTGTAACGACGACGTCATTAGTAGGCAAGAGGAGTCTGCGATATTTCATAGCCTGGGTGAGACCGTGCGTGACGAATCAGATATTGGGGCCCCAACCAGACTGATTGCCGCACCCCCTGAGCAGATAATGTCGATACTCCACCACTGATAATGTAGTCACTTCGCCACTTGGTGGCGACCCGAGTGAGTTGTATTCGTGCCATACCCGAGCACGCCTGGGAGGGTCCGCTTGCCACGACGTGCTGCCACAGTGAAAGTGGAGCCAACTCCAGCACCTGCCGTGAGGCCACAGGGTTCAGGGTGCCAAAGAGACGTCTTGGGAGCTGCAGTACATGGTACGAGCCCCCTGAGCCCACTTAGTCGACTTGGATTCATGCTGAGACTTCAATGGAACGTCATCCGCCGTCCTAACAGTTCCCAGTTCTCACTGTTCGTACGCAGGCCGCTAGCATTGGGAACTGTAGTGGTCAAGTAAATGAAGAGCAGGCTAATTAAAGATGCATGCAGACTTGTGTTTATTTTGGCCAAGTTACATGAACAGCCTGTTCACAATCACTGCCAATGGATGGAAAACACCCCGACTCCTCCCTTACAAACTCATCGAACCTCCACCTCGCCAGGCATGCAGCGTGCACGTGCAAGTACTAAAGCGGAGCGTAACGAGCGCGCGCGTGTACACATACTTAAACCACTTTCCTCACCACCCGTGTACAAAACCCAGAGTTAATTACCATACCCCTCTTTCCACTAGCGATATTAGTCGGCCGCCATATTGGATGGTTTTTCCACTAGCCATTTGCAGAGCAGAGCCAGAACCGAGCAGCGGTACGCGGGCCTCACGATACATTCTTAAGGAACGTGATGCGATGGACGTGGCCCCTTACAGTAGCTCGTTCGCCGCTTGTTGCAGAGATTCGTGGTTTGGATCAATCAGCCGCCCCGATTATTATAATGCCGGTGTAACAAACGGAAGAATACCATGCTGTCTGCTGAAGTGGACGTTGAGTATCCCTTGATGCGAGTCACAAGAATGGCCAAATGTGTGTGGGCATTAGGGTCCAAATCTGCGAAATGCCAAAAATTACCCGCAAGTAACTCATTTGGAACGATGCAAAGGGATCATCGCTCCCTTTTGGCAGAATGATTCCCTCAGTTCATGGTTGCAAATGAGACTCATTCTGGCCTCTTGCTCTCACCGAGTTAAGTACACTTTATTAATCTGGCTCATGGCCAAGCAAGGCCAGGGCAAATGATTTGTTCATCGTGTGTGACGTCAGTTAGTACACTGTGAGGACAGTGTCACCGGGTCATCTACATGCGTCTCAACATAGTCAATTGCGTGTGACGTCAACAGCGCGGCTCGGATTCTACCATGGAAAAAAACAGCCTGGCTGGCTCTGCTCTGTCGAAACTCAAGTCTATAGTGGAAGAGAGATACAAGTAAGCAAATGCTGAATCGTGTTCAGACTTTGTAGCTCATCATAGTGCGCTACTGCACAGGGGTGGGCAAACCACTTTGCTAAAAAGTAGCATGTACTAATTCTACAAATCGATTAAAAAAATATTTTCTATCCTTGACTCTCTACCCATCAAACTCATATCTCAACGTGTCCCCCCTTTCATTAACGGGGCTTCAATTCATGCCACCGTCAATGCCTCCAGCATTTCTCATGCCCTCAAGAATGCTGCTGGTAGCTCCTATACTCAGTCTTTAATGCTAGGCCCTGACATTTTGGAAAATGTCCATTGCATCTCAAATCTAGCTTGAAAAGTACTCGAAAGGGTTACAAAGTCAAAGCTCAAACAATGTCCTCTATAGTGGTCTCCACAGCCACGTAAGCCTGGTTTTTAGCCAAGGACAATCTGTATAAAGACACTCCTCCTACGTGTGGTCAGTTATTGTCTCTCCCCTGATCATGGGTCTTTCGTCTAGTTTTCCCAGACTAGGTTATAGGCATTGCATAACTACCACCGCCTTTGGATAATCTTGTGGGAGACTGAATGCCAGTTGTTGTAAGACTTGGGCTGTGAGGTGACCAGCATTCGTAGTACAAATTCTTGATTCTATCTATTACAGGATCATTCATTCAGTAAAGCGCTAAAAACGCATGGCTTTCATTACGCGATTAAGAACGTAGAAAATGTGGGTTTTAAAAATAACCTTGAAAATTAGTGAATGGGCCGGTATTATTTATTAACGTATTTCTCAACACACGTTGGTCACGTCACACGCATCTCCACAATGCAGCCTGTTTCATGCACGGCGGTCACTCATCCTAGAGCTAGCCAGGCTCATACTGCTTAGCTGCTGAGATCGGGCACCCATTCCGGGCCATTTATCACGAGCTATGCCGAGTGTGGGCAGCCAGAGGTGTGGTGGCACAGCAACATCAATTGTACCGCTGCTGTGCCCTCACGTCTATGCCTCCCCTGCCTTTAGACAACCCGCACGAACCAGCGTGGTGAAGTATGGTCAAATAGCCTGCCCCCCCCCCAACAATGAGTGCAGTGTAGGCATTGGCGTAATTCACGGGGAGCAGGACTCGCGGTTCGTGCCACTGGGTACTGTGCAGGCCGTGGGGGTGCGGAGTTCTCTCCGCGTCGGAATACGGTGCCAACCCTCCACCCCCGAGGTTGGGATGAACGAGACGGTGGAGCTGGCGGGAGTGTAGAAGTATATACCCATCTTCTTGGTTCTTTCGGTAAAGTCACGTTGAGCTTCCTTCGCGCCGTACGTAGCTAACTGAGATCATCCAAGTGCCATTGAATGCGTCGCCACTCACCTGACATTCAGTTTCCCCAAAATGATGTTATTCTTTGACTAAACTACTAAACAGTAACAAATAAAAAAAAGGAATTATTTGTTTGTTAACACATTAAAGTGTACAAAAAGCTAAATAATAACAATAATTAAGAAAATTCAGAAACCCAAACCCAATTAACCTGCACCAAAAGCATTGCGGTGCTTCTGTGCACGTTGAAGAGTGACATTGGCCAGCAACCTGTGCATCCGTGCGTGAGTGTGTGCGCGAGGATGTGTGCATGCATTTGAGTACGTAGCTGCGTGTGCCCATGTGTAGAATTAACCCATTAACACCTGAGAACAGACCCAGGTGTTATGGGTCTGCCACAGCAAGCCTTGACACTTCACGCGGTGGCTTCAAAGTGCACCGAGCCTCGCACAAACGCCGTGGTGACATCCCCGCCACTTAGCGGGCAAACGGCAACCGTTGTTGTTGTTGTGTTTAGAGGGTTACCCATACATGCCAAGTTGATATTCTGGTTGCTGACCATTGGGGAAAGGTGTTTCCTGGTGAGTCTGCGCTCCCGCGTGTGGACGTGGCACCGTGCGTTTCCCCCTTAGAAGATTCTCTCGGATTCCGCAAATCGGACGGTCTTGGTCGCCTTCTCGCTCGCGACTCTGCTATCTCCGTGGTGTCCGGCGTTCTGCGGAAGGGGTCGGGGGAAAGGCCAAAGATCGAGACGTCATCGTGGCCAAAGCCGCAGACGCCACCGCTGCACCTCGCGGCCAACGTTCTCTACGCTTGGCCAGATCTCACAGCTTCTGCGCAGGAGAGGCACTCAGCGACCTCCAAAATATGCCCCTGATGGTCTCCCACCATCTGCCCCTTGGGTCTTCCCCTTAGTCATGGGACTCAACCACAGGGAGAGGTGGGAAGCAAACAAAGCCGAGTTGGTACCAGTGCCAAGGAAGTCACATCTATGAGTCATCAATATCAATAGGAAAATACATCAGAGGGTTCTTTATTCATTAATTCATGGCTCATTTTATAACGCGCACACATTGGACTTGAAAATGACATTCGGAGGTGCAGGAGAGTAAATTAAAGAAAGAATTTTCAGACAGAAGGTTGACAACGATGCTGATGTGTGGCACAGTGAGAGGAAGGATAGGAACTGCTGGTGACAAAGACAAAGATCCCCCATATAGCCTAAACAGACTGTTGGGGCAAGTGCTGTTTGTGGGAAAATATGAAGGCTGGAATAGCACACGAGGGGGTGGGTGGCTAGCACCATACCCGACCTGCTTTGTCTCCCCAGTGGCAATGTTTTACACCTTGAGGCGAAGTCGCCCGTTCAGATAATTGTCGCTGGTGTTGGCCATGAGCGGGAATTGAACTCGGGTCACTGGGCCCGCAGCGCTCCAACCGCTACATCACCACTGCCGATTAACAACATCAATAACAACCTCTATTTGCAACTAAGTGGCGGTGACGTCACCACATCAATTGTGCCAGGCTTTGTGGACTTTCAGGCCACGTGAAGTGTCAAACGCCTGCTGGCAGGAGGTCACAGGACAGACCCCGGTGCGATGGGTGTACTGACTGAGATGGCTGGCAGATGCACCACCTGTGCCCCCTACTTTGCCGATGAACACACAGACACATATAGACATACACAGAGGAAGGAGCTCCAACAAGAAGACCCCACCCCCCACATTGAACCATTGTGGGGGAGTAGGGGAGAGTGGGGGTGGGGGGGGCACTCACCTGCACGGAGTAGTTGCTGTACACGCACTCTCCGTACGTGGGCACCAGGCGTAGGTACGGGTACTCCGTCTCCCGCCTGCAAGAAAGAGCGGCGGTCACGGAGAGGAGGACGGTGCTCGTGGGGTTCGGTCCGAGCGGCCGGGGTCGCAGCGCCGTTGGGAATTAAACTAAAAACCAAACTATTTTTATTTCATCAGGTAAGGCCTCAACTGAGCTACATCGCTTTTTTTCACAAGTGACCTGGACACAAAGGATAGCTCAATGAAGTGGCGTATCATGTGGAAATGCACAGCCACCAAATCCTTTAAATGCATGATTCTAAATGTGGAGGGACAAACCAGAGGACCCGCAGAAAAATCCACACGACCACGGCGAGAGAGAGACACTCAAACACCAACTACACAGCAGGCGTCAGGGTCAGGATCAAACCCACGACCGCCTGCAAACCAGGCGAGGGAGATAACATCTCGACGCTGTGGCACCCATTATATTTAATTGGCACTCGCTGCAGGAGCCACGGGGCCCTTACTTGGCGGCGGTGTTCACCACGGTGGACGACTGCATGGTCGACCTTTGGCTCATGGACATCCTCAACCTCTCCATCTCCTGTGCACAGACAAAGATCCCCCGTTTAGGTTTAACAGACTGTTGAGGCAAGTGTTGTTAGCGAGCACCTCCTCTGCACACACACACACAAGTTCACACATGTAGGGCAGCATGGTAGCAACGTCGTGGTAACACTTGCGCCTCGCGAGCAAGAAGCACCCGGGTTAATTTCCTGACTCGGACGCCCCTCTGTGTTTGTATGTTCTCCCCCTGTTCTGCACGGATTTCCGAAGGTTTCTCCTTGTTTCCTCCCATAACTAAAATAATCGCACAGTGTAACCGGTATTGGCCAAAATATCTGAATGGTGAAAAATACCTGAAAATTTACTCAATCAGGATCGTAGGGAGCAGTAGCAACATCGCTCCCCTCCAGTGAAAAAAACTTCGCAGGACCCTTCCGGAAAGAGAATCTTGAGACTCCGTAACCATCCACCTCTCCGGCAATTCAACAAGAGTAATTATTAGCATTATTTGGAGCCATGATTTAGTTCAAGAATTACGTTTTCTTTGTCTCTTTAAGTTCTGTTTTGTTTATTTTGACTTGGTCATCCCATTGTCTTAATAGAGCAATGTCTGATAATCAAATCACCTGCAATGCACCGAATCTCATCACATCTCGGACGTCGAGCACAGTTGAGCCTGGAAAGTGCTGGAATGGGCGATCACCATGCACGGCAGGTTATCATAGGCAGCTGCGGGGCTACTTTGTGGTTGGTGGAGGTAGCTTTGTGATATCCGCTTCTATAGGGCATTGATATGGCCTCGCAAGCAGTGCATTCACCACTTGTTGTGGAGCTTCGTAGTTGAATCCACCGGCCCGCTCTAATTATTATTAGGGCGGGCAGTAATTTCTACTAATAATTACCACAGCAATAATTACCGGTAAAAATTATTACTGCGGTGTGTTTTTCTCATTTTATCTAGGATTTTACGTTGCATATTTGTCAAAGCACTTGACAAGAATGATACATTTTCCATTAATATTGGCTGATGGGGAAAAGGGTTGGAGTTTGAGTGTTGGGGAGGGGAAGGGATGGCAAGGAAAGGTAATGATAGGGAAAGGGAGAGGATGGCGAGGTTAGGAAGGTTAAGGTGGAGGATGGTTAAGGGTTTAAGGATGCGGACAGGAAGTAGTAATTGCCGGAATTATACCACGCCGCCAGCATCGCTCAACGGACAGGAAGTAGTAATTGCCGGAATTATACCACGCGCCGCCAGCATCGCTCAAAGTGGACGTTCACGATTCCCCTGCGTCATTTGCAAGAGCAGGCCATTGTGTGCCACCAGCTTCAGAGTCCACATTTTACCAAATTCAAAAATTTACACCGCAAATGACTCAACTGGGATTGTAGGTAGCGGCAATCGTCGCCCCCCAACTGGCGGACTAACGCCCTGGGTCACTCGCAAATGAGACTTCACCCTTGGGTCTCTTGCATTCCCATCGGGTTAAACAAAGTCAACGTTACTTTTTTTCTCTTCCAACATAGCGTGGTCACATCCTGCTCCACTACTGCTCCTGTGACGCGATGGCCACCCAGTACAATCGGGTGGAAAATAGAAAATAAACGGTGGAGAAGACAACAACGGAGACATCTATGGCACATATCTTTGCCTGTATCAAAGTATGAATAATGATAATAGGTTTTAACCTTTCTGGCAATTAAATAGGTGTTAAGATGTTCAAATACCAAATAGATGCCTTTTTCAGAAGCAACCACACAAACATGCTCTGATGATATATGGAGTGTCAATGTATATAATTATCAGAGCATGTTTGTTTGCATGTTCACCATAAGTACGTGTGGTTATAATGCAGACTTCATTCCTTGCAAAAGGTTTCTATTTGGTGTTTGAACATCTTAACACCTCCTGTTTTTTCCAGAAAGGGTAAACACCTATTCTTATTTTGACAACGGAAATGTAGTGCGAAAGAAAGGGATCGTGTGTCACCTCGCGGAGCGTGGCGATGATCTGTTCCTGCTGGGAGATGGTGCGCTGCAGCTCCGCCAGGCGCTGGTCACTGCCCTGGCTCGAGCTCTGGCTCTGCTGCTGGAAGCTCTCGATCCTCATCTGCACAAGACAAAGATCCACCCCCCTTTTAACAGACTGTCAGAGCAAGTGCTGTTAAGCGAGCATCTCTCAGGTTCTTTATTTCTCCTGGGAGAAATCCGATGAGCTATGAAACTCTTTTTCACAGACGTCCGGGAGATGTCCTTATGAAAGTCGGCACGGCACACGAGGGGGTGGCTGGGCAACACCACGCCCGGCCGCCTTTGCCTCCCCAGTGGCGATGTTTACATATCACACCAAGTACTCATTTGAATCTGAGTCGACCTAGGGGAGAACCAGGACAGGTTCAAATGATCGTCACTGGTGGTGGCCAACAGCGGGAATTGAACTGGGGTTGCCGGGTTCATAGCGCAATGCGCTAACCGCTACACTTCCGCTGTCCACTCAGCAACACAAATACAAAAATCCCCCGTTTAGCCTTAACAGATTGTTGGGGAAAGTGCTATTAGCAAGCACCTATGAAGGCCGTCACGGCACACGAAGGGGTGGGTGGCCAGCACCATGCCTATCGGCCTTTGTCTCCCTAGTGGCGATGTTTTACGCACCGCACCAGGTACTCATTTGAGGCCGAGTCGATCTAGGGAAGGCACAGGATCGGTTTAGATAATCGTCATTGGTGTTAGCTGTGAGTAGGAATCGACATAGACCTCGGGTCGCTGGGTTTGTAGCGCACACTACCGCTCTCCACCCATCGACACACACGCACGCACACACACGCACACACGCACACACACATGCACGCACACAACTTTCGTGACTGCAGGAATCCATACTCTTTGGTTCTTTCGGTTGTGAGAAACAATGTATGCCCTCCATCCACAATAACCCTTTATTATTGGACCCTATATTTCCGTGATCCTATGAACAGCTTCCTAAAAAATGTGGATAAAATAAGGTGATATGTGATGTGGCGTGTAATTTAAATAATTCCCAGAGTGGTGAATCCAAAGCACTGACAATGACAGAGAAGCCATCTCTTCTCTCACCAGTTCAAGATTGGGTGCACAGTCGGTACCGTTTTAATCGAGGCCTTCGTGAGAAAGGAGAATCGCGTTTAGCCGATGGCGTCTAGACGTGCGGACGCGCCACTCCTACGCTCGTTGCAAACGACTCCAACTAAGCGGAATGCGACATCGGGACTGTCATTATTTTTTACAGGGATAACCTATTCAATGTAAAACTATTTTGCTGGATTAAGCCTTTACTGTTCGATATCCCATTGTGTTCAGACATATCATGTACCGCGTTTCACGTTCATGTTTGTTAAAGCGGGCAAGTGAGACTTCAAGAGAGCAGGAGTAGAGACTCGCTCGCCGTGTGCGACCCCCTGGGTCACCAAAGTGGCCAAAGCGATGTAATGAAAGCGAATCGGGATCGGAGCAAAAAAACGCAAGTTGGCTCGGACAAATGACTCTGAATGCTTTACCCGTTAAAAATAAGTCACGTCATGAGAAGCCAAAGAGCTGAATAGGACTCTGACAGGGTAATGGGCAAGAGGCCGTTGCAGCGACGGAAGTGAACGAAGCGCGGCAAAATCAGTGGCGCAGTTTTTGGCAGCTCAAAAAAGTACTGCCCACTTCTGATGTCCACCCGCTGCAGCTAAGATGAGAAGATGGTTTCAAATTAAGCAACCATTGGAAAGATGTTCTAAATCGAACCAAACATTAAACTAATTTTCAATGATACAGTATATTTTTCAAGTAGTGGTACCCCAAACTTTCGCAGCTCTTAAAAAAAATTCCCTTTTCACACCACCAATAGGTAAACTCCCCCTCCCCCCCCTCGCCAACCGGCATGTTCACCCGCATGTACAATCAAATGCTAATTTTTATGCTAATTCCTTTGTCAAGGCACCTTGTTTCTTCGCACACAGCTTAAAGGTCGCGGTCTGAGCGTGGCTGTGTTTCACTCCAGCGCTGTACTCGAGACAGTCTGCTCCCTTCACCTGATGAAGGCCGCTTGTGTTGTGGCCGAAACGTCGTGATTTTTGTTGTTTTATTTTTTACCTACGTGACTTTACCGAATAGAACCAAAGAGTATGCTTGCAGTGGTGGAAATATGACTGTGGGCCCTTTTCAAGTGGTAGCCCTCACGTGACCGTGCACAGAACGCGTGACGTGAAGCTGTTGGCCGTGTGTTAGCCATGGGCCCTGGGTTCCCCCCCACACCACCCCCCGCTGCAGGAGGAATTCCAGTTCATAGAAACGTTTGCGTCGTTTGAGCTGTGCTTTTTCCAGGTCCTTGTCTCCATTCCCCTGACCCCGTGACCTCTGCATCACCTTCATGCTGGACACCTCCCTGTCCCTCTCGGCGGCCTGGTCAGCGAGCTGCGACTCGTAGTGGCGTCGCATCTCCTCAATCGACGCCTGGTTCGAAGACTCCCTCTCCGACTTCAGGGACATGAGCTGAAACGATCGTAAACGGAACGCAAGATGAGATTGAGAATCTAAATCAAATCAACGGATCACTCGATTGTCCACGCCGCTACCATCCGTAACGTCGCCACCCGAGACACCGCCAACGTGGTGCGCATCATTCCACTGCTGGATGGGAACGTTCCCACGTCACATTGGGGGTTTATATGACTACACTTCACCATGCCAGTTAGTGTGAGTTCCAGTTAAAGTTTATGTTGTTTAACCAGGTAAGAACTCAAGAGACCAGGGGAAGTCTCATTTGCAAGAGTGGCCTGCCGTGTGACCTGAGGCACTAATACGCCAGCAGGGAGCTATGATTGCTATGTGCAATTCCAATTGAGTGTTTTGCAGGTAATCTTTAAGCATTCAGATGTTTAACCGATTCCGTTTACATTGTACTTTTTTTTAGTTATAGCTTTTTTTGGCACCGTACATAGCCAACTGTGCTAATCGGAGGCGTGTCGCCACAACCGCCCGGCTAAGAAGCCTCCCTTCATTCGCCTGAAACTGCATCCGTTGCTTTTTTCCCGTTTAAATCTTATTGAACAACATCTTAACATTCTAAAATTAACAATTGTGCTCGTCTCTCCCGATCTGCATGACAGCCGGTCACCGTCTCGGTTTCACAGAGGAGTAAAATGTCAACAACAACGTCTCTCCGTCTGCTCCGTTAAAGGGCATCGTCTGCCATAGTTGTCGCTATACCTGTGCCTGGTGCTGCTCCTGCTGCTGCCTCTGCTGCTGCAGCACCGACTCGGTCTTACGCTGCTGAGACTCGCACTCGCTCCGCGCCGCCTCCAACGCTCGCTTCATTTCCTGCAGGCTCAGCGAATCAGCTGTGCCGGATGCCAGGGATTGCTGCTCACGCACGAGTGCAGAACACAGAGATACGGTTGCCGAACGAATACATAGGGTCGCGTTCGTTACACACAAAGTGCTTGCCACAAATGAACCACAATAACTTGCTGATCTTGTCAAGGAACGTAAACCGTCACGCAAACTCCGGTCATTCTCCAGTCTGCCCGGCACGCCCTGACGCACTTCACAGCCGATTATTAAAGCAGGTGCTTGCGAAGAAAGCTTCTCCTCCGCGTTTGTACCTGCAGCTCCAGGTTGTTTTTCTGGAGGTTGCTCGCCAGCTGGGAGTACTTCTCGGCGAGCTGCCCCTTCTTCATGGCTTCCTCGGACAGGTGTAAGCGAGCGTTCTCCGAGCTCTGGTGACACACGAGGGGCCGAGGGGAGTTTTGCGCATGGAGGTGATAACATTGAAAAGCACAGCCACTGGTACCTCAATAAATCTCTAATCCCACATTTCCACGACCAATTCTAAAGCTGTCCAGAGTTGTCACGACGCTGCTGCTGTAATCGCGGTCTGGATTTGTAATCCAGAGGCCGCCGGTCCGATCTCCCTACACGGCAGTTGAAACGATGTTGCTAATTTCTTTTAATCCCTCCACCTATGTCCACGCAGTCGTGTAAATGGGTCCGCAACAGTGAGTCGATCGGCAGGTCGAGTTTGGCGGTGCGACATGAGCAGTGGACAGGGCGAACCTATGTCGTGGGTGGGGCCACCTGAGTAGTGGGTGTGGCTACAAGAATAGTGGGTGGGGCCACCTGAGTAGTAGGTGGGGCTACTAGAATAGTGGGTGGGGCCACCTGAGTAGTGGGTGGGGCCATCTGAGTAGTGGGGGGGGGTAATACCTGAGTAGTGGGGGGGTGCTAACTGAGTAGTGGGGGGGAGTACCACCTGAGTAGTGGCCTATGAACAGCAGCGGAGCCAATGTCAGACAGAACAGGGGTGGGCGTGGCTATGTAAAAGTAGGCGGGATTGATGGAGGGAGGTGTGGCCAGCACCCCCCACACGTGCCGGTTGAGCGGTCCCACAGACATTGTGGTGTAACTTTAAACCGGCCCCTTGAGTGGCCTCTTACCCGGACGTCATCCTGCAGACGGGCGAGCTCGTTGGTGAGCGCTCCGAAGGTCCCCATCACCAGCTTCATGGCCCTGTCCATGGACGATTTCACCTGCAACCCAAATCCCCGCGGAGCTTAGTGGATGTGTTAACTCGTCCACGGATTCTTCAGTAACTGAGGGTTCGTGACTCTGTGCCCTTAACACTCAATAAACATGAAGCTTGTGTATAAGGGGGCGTCCATAAATGACGTCACGTGATTTTGGACGATTTTTGACCCCCCCCCCCTTCGTCACACGGCGTCACAAAAAGTCAGATCCCCCCCCTCAAATATGACGTCACAAAGCTCTGCCCCGCCCCCCAAAATAAAACATGCTTCAAATCGCTTTAAACTATTGTCATTGTAGTGCGTATTTAATGTGTTGTAGGAGAAAACATTTACTAAAAAGTCTATTTAATTAAGTAGAACGTGTTGTCTATATTTATTTAAAGTTGCGCATTTTGACGTGACGTCACATTTCTCAAACCGCCCCCCCCCCCTCGTCACAAATGTCTGACCCCCCTTCTAGGTGCGTGATGTCATTTATGGACGGCCCCTAAGCAGCTATAACCTCCAAGGATACATGCGTGCGCATGCACACGTGCGCGCGCAAGGTAAATGCAAATATCGTTTTAGCTTTGCAGACTGTCAGGGAAAGTGCTGATAGCGAGCACCTAATAAAACCGGCGTGGCACACGGAGAGGGCGGAGAGGTTGGTGTGGCCTCTTTTGAGGCCGAGTTGACCTAGAGGAGGGGCCCAAGGCCGTTAGCAATGGCCAGGAATCAAAGCCAGTTGGGCGGGTTCTTAGCGCCGTGTGCTAACCACTGTACGGGCAGGACAGAGGAAACGAGAAGCAATGCAAAGGAGGGCAATGAAAACGAGACAACACGAATCGATTGTTGATTTGAATCGCAATCCCCGAATCGTGATATTTCATTCAAACGACAGAGGGGCAGTGGGCGTAGCGTGGTTGGCATGGGCCCTGATGTAAGGGTCTAAATGGGGTAACCCCGCTACTCCATTTTCCCCGACCCATCCGACTTTTAGCCCAAGCACCTGAGCCCCTCCGCTGCCTGGGCCCGGTGCAGTTGCACCGCCTGCACACTACTCGATAGCGGTGACGCGTTTTGGTGCTGTGCGTGCAAGCGAGTGGACGCGCGGGGCGCTCCTCACCTCCAGCAGTCCCCGCAGGTGCAAGCGCACCGTGTCGGACGTGCCTCCTGGGATCTTCAGGTCGATGTTGTCGACGTCGTTCTGCGGGCGGGGCGACGCGGACACATCAACTCCCGCTCTAGACGCGGTCATTCCCGATTCCACGACGCGATAATCTCTGTATCTCAAATCACGTGACTTATGTATGGCCACCCCCACTCTGAATCCCATACCTGTCAACCGCCTAATCAGTACTTACCTTATTACAGACCAATTCAAAACTTATTGGTCACCCCGTGCCCTTATAAATCTCAACGTTCATCCTACAAAGTCCCATCACAAGGGAGAAACACAAACAAATATACGAAAAAATGTTTGCCCATATTGAAACGGCCGTACAAGAATACAGGTAAACCGTAAGGGGTTGACAGCTACGGAATCCCTCCCCACTCTCCCAGACTCTGCTCTCCAACGCAGCTCGCTTCTGCTCGCTCCTTCTCTATCTTGATGCGGTGGAGATTTCCAGGGATATAACTAACAGGGCAAGTATATTATTGGTTGTTTCGGTAAAGTCACGTAGAAGGGAAGAACGTTACCGAAAGAACCAAGAATATGAATCCCTGCAGTCACGAAAGCTTTAAATATAAATGTAACAGGGCAAGCTCGCACGGTGTGTCAATGAGCGCACATTACTCGCAGTGCGGAGGTCACCCCGTTTGAGTCGATCTCCCGGCGCGGCAGTGGAAACGACGGTGCCAGTTTTTCAAATCCACCCCCTCCCTCCCCCCGACCCCACCCAGCAGTAAAAATGGGTTCACCATAGTAAGTTGACTGGCAGGTCACGTGGGGTGGTGGGGGTAAAGTGTGGGCGCGTCCACCTCTTCGCGGACGTTTGGTCAGTGTGGAAGAGTAGACCAAATACCGTCTGGAGAGCAGTGACGTGCGGTGAGGTCAATGGCTGGGGAGGCACTGGCGAGTGTCAGAGCCAGATTCACACACTGAGGGGGGCGTGGCCTTATGGAGGGAGGTGTGGCCTCACTGAGGGGGCGTGTCCTCAGTGAGGGGGACGTGTCTAACGCAGATGCTATAGCTGCCTCCCCTGGTGCTTTTTCATTGCAGTTTCATGACGAGACCAACGAGCCTAAATATCTTTACACACATACGTGAAATAAGTTACCTGGAGTATGGAAGGCGTGGACATGCAATGAAGGGGTCTACAAACATTCCATTGGTGGCATACTGAGATAGTAACAGGCACGCGCTTATTACCCGTGCTCCATCCAGTTACTGAGGGGTTGCACAATCAGAGGGGAGGCTGAGCTCGTCGCTGCCTCACCTCTCGTCTCTTCCTGTATTTGAGGCAGAGCTCCGCAAATTTGGCGATTTTTGACGATAAAAATAATTGTAATCGTACAGAAATGACATTTATAACACAGATCAGTGGAAAATCCTAAGATTTATTTTATTTGATTATTCTTTTTTTCTACTTTTCGTAACAGCTACTTTCATTGGAGTATGACAGGTGAGGCTCTGCCTCCCCTGCCTCCCCTGACCGGACGTCCCTGCTGGAGAAGCTCTATGCCGCTCCCACTATTGGGCTCTCTTGATCCCCCCTTTAGCGGAAGCCATTCGGGCCAGCAGCGACCCTTCCGCCAGAGGTGGCATGAGTAAGAAATTCCAGGGCTGCCCCTTTACCCTTTGAAAATGGCTATCAGACCAAGCTATGAACCCGTGCTGTGACCAGCACGGCGACGCATGGTCACACAGCAGCCGCGGCACCGTTGTTGTGTTATCACGAGCGTTCGTATATCCAGCTGCTCTCTGCGTTCTTCAAAAGAGCAAATTCCGGTTGTGTTGAATGCGCGCCCGTGTGTCGTGCATACAGGGTGACCCAAAAACGAGGACACATAGGGTTATTATATATATACCACATCGGGTTATTTAATGTATTTGAACAAATTTTCAAACTGACTGCCATTAACATGAATGCATCCACGGATTATAATTTGAAATTAATTTTGTCGTTTTTTTATATTACAGCTGTGTAAATCTTTGAACATTCATCAATTAAGTTTTGTTCGTGTCAGTTCGTTCGGGGTTCTTGGTCGAGTTTTGTCAACGACAGATTTGAGTTGACCCGAACGGGAAGAAGAAAAATAAATACGAAAAGTGACAATCGAAAAAATATAACCTGAAAAAATAAAACATATTTTAACACCAGTGTTCAACTCAATTAAAGTCCTGTGTGTCCTGACTTTTGGGCCACCTTGGAGATCGAGAGTGTGGTGAATGTGTTTCGTTTGGGCCCGCATCCTGATTCCTTGTGATCGCTCACGCACAGGCATCGGACTGAACTACCTTTATCGCTGGGCTGTCCAGGGATTTCAGCCTGGAAAGCAGAAATGTTGCCGCAGTTAGTGATCTCAGTTGAGTGTTAGCTCGGGACATCAAGTTGATATTGTTGAACTGGGTGAGAACTCGAGAGACGAGAACAGAGCGACTTAGATCAGGGTCATAACACCTCCGATTAGCACAGTTGGCTCCATCAAGTGTGAAAGAAGTTCAACATACGTACATACATAGCAATGAGACATTTTTTGTAAAACTTACCAGTAGGGGGCGATGATTGCTACACACAACCTCAATTGAGTAATCGACGATGGAGCTTTAAAATTTGGCAAATACAGACCCTGACGCTGGCACACGATGGCTTACTCTTGCGAATGACGTCACGGGATCATGACGTCAAATGTGAGTGCCACCTCACGGCGGGGAGGACTGCCATGGGGGACCTGGGCAGTGCCAGCGAGCCGCCACCCTTCCAAACGATGGTGGAAACACGGCATCGATGAGCTCTCATCGAACCCCAGTGCACTTGTCAGTAAAGAGTATGGCTTTTTGGGGGGCAGCATCTCGTGTGTAAGCCCTGCCATACAGCGAGAGCGTGTGTGTCTTTGCCTTTTGGAGGAGGCTCGTGAAGGACGCTACTCTTTGGATGGAGGCAGTTGCCCATCCAGCAACAATGGAGGTCAGAGGAGCGACGCTCACAAGGAGCGGAGTGCCGGGCGGTTAACATACAGCAAGTTGGCAGAGTCGGGAGCAAAGGCGGTGCATCTGCCGGTCGTCTCATTCAGTCAACCCGTGGCACCTGGGTCTGTCCCATGACCTCCTGCCAAACGGCGAGCCTTGGACACTTCACGTGACCTCAAAGTGCACCTAGCCTGCCAAATGCTTTGAGGCGACGTCATCGTCACTTTGTGGCGAATGACGGCTGTTGTTGTTGTTGCTTGTGTGTATGTGTTTGGTGATGGCGGAGTGGGGAGCGGTAGTGTAGCGGTTAGCGCGCTGTGCTATGAGCCCGGCAACCCGGGTTCGATTCACGCTCACGGCCAACACCAGTGGCGATTATCTGAACCGGTCCCGGGCCTCGCCTAGGTCGAATCCGCCTCAAATGAGTACCTGGTGCGGTGTGTAAACATCGCCACTAGGGAGACAAAGGGGGTCGAACGTGGTGCTGGCCACCCACCCCCTCGTGCACCGTTCCGGCCTTCATAGGTGCTCGCTAACAGCACTTGCCCCTACAGTCTGTTAAGCCTATACGGGGGATCTTTGTCTTTGGTGATGGCAGAGAGGGGGGTGGGGGAGGCATCACCTGGTACGCAGGCCCTGCACGTTGGTCTCCAGGCAGTTGTAGAGTTCGCTCGACGTCCCGCGCAGCTCTCCCAGCAGATCGCTCACCGGCTGCATCTCCTGGCTGAGAAGCGCGTCGTGCTGCCGCGACAGCTGCACACAGCGTGAAACAACGAGGTAGAGGTCCACGACAGCTGCACACGGCGTGAAACACCGAGGTAGAGGTCCACGACAGCTGCACACAGCGTGAAACACCGAGGTAGAGGTCCACGACAGCTGCACACGGCGTGACACACCGAGGTAGAGATCCGCGACAGCTGCACACGGCGTGAAACACCGAGGTAGAGATCCACGACAGCTGCACACGGCGTGAAACACCGAGGTAGAGATCCCCGACAGCTGCACACAGCGTGACACACCTAGGTAGAGGTCCACGACAGCTGCACACGGCGTGAAACACCGAGGTAGAGGTCCACGACAGCTGCACACAGCGTGACACACCGAGGTAGAGATCCACGACAGCTGCACACAGCGTGAAACACCGAGGTAGAGGTCCACGACAGCTGCACACAGCGTGACACACCGAGGTAGAGATCCACGACAGCTGCACATAGCGTGACACACCGAGGTAGAGGTCCACGACAGCTGCACACGGCGTGAAACACCGAGGTAGAGATCCACGACAGCTGCACACAGCGTGAAACACCGACGTAGAGGTCCACGACAGCTGCACACGGCGTGAAACACCGAGGTAGAGATCCGCGACAGCTGCACACGGCGTGAAACACTGAGGTAGAGATCCACGACAGCTGCACACGGCGTGAGACACCGAGGTAGAGATCCACCACGTGGCTCTCACAGGCCCCGACGGGCCAAGCGCCGTGAGCGGGCTCCTGGGGAGGCCGGCACGGCGCACGGGGAGAACGCTGCGAGCGGAATGGGCCGGCGTCGCAAACGAAACTCCACAGACGAGAATACGGCCAAGATGATGAAAACAAAACCAAAACGAATTTGCCGCGCAATGCTTTTCATTCGCCCCAATAGTTTTGCAGACTTTTCTTTTACCGAAATAAATGGGCAGTTGGGAGTGATTTTCAAAAACGTTACTCATTCATCAAAAGCAACGCAACAACGTGCCTCAAGAAGCAGGAGATGGAGCAGTGAAATAATCTCGTGCGCAGAGGCTGGATGGATCATTACAATAATAAAACGCTTACTTTTTTTTTACAAATCGAGGTTGCTGAGTGCAGGCCCAAAGCACCAAGCGTAAAGCGACAAACAGCGCTGCTAACATTGTTATAGATATGAGTCGATACGTGCTTGAATCGAGTAATGTTATCATAAGAGCTTGGGGAAAAGATACGATGATGGGAGGAGGGACTTCCAAAGTGCAGCAGTGCGAGGAAAGAAGCAGAAAGAGAAGCGATGTGACCTGCAGTGTTGTGAGTGAGTGGTGAGTGCGTGAGTGAGTGAATTGGTGGGTGAGTGGTTGGATGAGTAGTTAGATGGATCAATTAGTGAGCGAGCGAATTGGTGGGTCCGTTGTTGTGAGCTGTCGTGTGGTAGTTGGTGGTGGTTGAAGTGTGAATCAGATTAAACGGTCATTCTGGTAGCCTGAGTTCCTGTGGAAGTTCACATGAACAGCGAGTAGCGATGGAAGAGTGATGCGGAGGTGTATATTGCTGCCATTGCGCACAAGAATTAACTAAACTATTTTTTTTAGTTTTACCAGGTAAGGCCCACTAAAGGTGTAGAGCTCTTTTTAAGGAGGGACCTGGCCATCAGAAATGATGGCAGCTCAACGAAGTGGCTTATCACGTGGATATTTATAGCAGCCAAATACTCTGAATAGGGGGCGGGGGTGGGGGGGTCATACAATGTGAACCCGTCGCCATGGTCATGGTGCACCCACCGTTTTCGGGCTGGGGGGCGCGGGGGACACGGGGAACTGGTGCTGGGGTGGCGGAGCGACCGGAGGAGGCGACACGAGGGGGGACACGGAGTGCTGCTCGGGGGGCGTGGGGGCGGCCGGGGAGGGCAGGCGCCTGGCGGGGCGCGGCGGCTCCGTCTGCGTCACCTCCACCTTGCTCGCCCGGCCTCTCATCTGCACACAAAGATCCAAGGCAGGTAGCCGTAGAGTCAGCATTGGGGGGCGACCAAATCTTCCAGGGTGTCTGGGGGTCCCAACCCAGAAAAATATCAAAATTTGAAAACTAATTTCCTGCCTAAAATATAAAAAAAATCCCTAACGCGTGGGATGGACTTTTTATTTATTTTTTACAATAATGTCTAAGAGTATATTGTATTACATTGCTGTGTTTATACTTCTTTATCATTTCTTGTTTCATTGTATGTAATGGCAGAGATTAGGGATTCATAAAGTACAACCATAACCACAATCATGTGAACAGAAATCGATGCATTGACTTATATGAAGACAAGTCCAGATATTGTGGCCAAGGTTTAGCAAATTGTTTTTATTTACATAGCATAGCAATTTTATTTTTTCTAGCAATATATTTTTTTCTAGCAATATATTGGGGGGGGGGTAGATTTTGAGCATCTTTAAATATTGGGGGGGATGTGTCCCCCCTAGTATATATTATAATTACGGCCTTGCAAAGATCACGCCGATAGCCATAACGGATTGTCGGGGCGAGCGCTGTTAGAGTCACGCCCATGGAGGCTGGCACGGCACGCGAGGAGGTGGGTGGCCAGCTAGACGCCCGGCCGCCTTTGTCTCCCTCGTGGCGATGTTTACGACACCGCACCAGGTACTGTACTCATTTGAGGCTGAGTCGACATAGGGGAGGCCCAGGACCGGTTCAAAATCATCCTCAGTGGTGTGGGTGACCGCGAGTGGGAATCGAACTGGGCTCGCCAGGTTCTAAGCGCAGTACACTAACCGCTACACTACCACATTTGTGCCCGCACACACACACATGGGTGCACATGGCACGTGTATTTAAATAAAGATCTCCAATGTTAGCCTACACAATCTGTTGTGGGCAAGTGCTGTTAAGAGAGCACCTATGAAGGTGCTCAACAAAAGGGTTTGTGTGTCCAGCACCGTGCCCTGCCCGGGAGGGGCACAGGTGGTGCATCGGCCAGTCATCTCAGTCAGTCGACTCTTGACACCTGGGTCTGTCCCGTGACCTCCTGCCAGTGGGCGTTCGACACTTCACGTGGCCTTAACGTGCACACAGCCTGGCATAAGCGCCGTGGTGACGTCACTGCCACTTAGTGGTGAAAGGCGGCAGCTGTTGTTGTTGTTGTTCTTGTGCCCTGCCACATTTGTCTCCCCAGGGCTGCTGTTTGCAGACTGCACCAGACACTCATTTACATGCCCATGAATGGCTGAGATAGCCACCACTGATGTTACAGTAGCTCTGGCCGGGAATCGAACTCTGGGAACCGGAGTTCGTAGCACATTGCACGATTCACACAAATAAATTGGTAAAAAACAGCGCAATTAAAACAGTTTAAAATGTAGGAACCTGAAAGTCTAGACGAGTATATTTTTTATACAGGAAACTCGTAGATAAATTAACCGAGAGAAGAGAATGTCGATTTAAAGCTTTCGTGACTGCAATGAATCATCTTCTTTGGTTCTTTCGGTAAAGTCACGTAGAATGAGAATAAAATAATAAATTGATAAAATAAAATAACACAATAATATTCTCACGACGTTTCGGCCACAACACAAGCGGCCTTCATCAGGTGAAGGGACGAGACTGTCTGGTAGGACAGCGCTGGCCTACCTGGTAGGACAGCGCTGGAGTGGAGCACTCCAGCGCTGTCCTACCAGACAGTCTCGTCCCTTCACCTGATGAAGGCCGCTTGTGTTGTGGCCGAAACGTCGTGAGAATATTATTGTGTTATTTTATTTTATCAATTTATTATTTTATTCTCATTCTACGTGACTTTACCGAAAGAACCAAAGAAGAGAAGAGAATGTCTTCAAGACAATTAAAAAATTTTTTATACAGTTGCGATCAGTGATATAAACGCTGAATTCTACCTAAATGTAACGCAGGCCTGCTATCGTTGCATGTTCGATGGATATAAATTCATAATGAATCTTTAATATATTAAAACCACTTGACCCTGAGCAAAATAATGTATGAGCGCATTATGAATTGCAATAATAAATTTGTAAGCGTGGCAGAAGGTATTTCGACCTTTCTATGCGTCGGGTTTACCATAATAAGTACAATATACAACTTGACTCATACTCTGTGGTTCTTTCGGTAGAGTCACGTCGTAGGTATAAAATAAAATAAATCACGACGTTTCGATCGCAACACAAGCGGAAAACATATTTTATACCAACGTGACTTTACCGAAAGAACCAAAGAGTATGGATTCCTGCAGTCACGAAAGCCTCAAAGCAAAACTTGACTCATCTAAATCAACTCGGGCCCTCCCGTAAGTCACGTGACTTCTAACCCCGTGCAGGTGGAACAGATGGAGCGCACGTTTTGCTGTGCCACCTTCTGCTGGCGAGCCACGGTACAGCGGCCTCCTCGACGCCCCGCAGGAAGAGGCGTTCCACGACTATTCGTGATCCACCGAGTTTGATCGACAGAAGAAGGCTTCAGGCCAAACGAAGACCCGGCTCGAAAACTCTCCGAAGCTGTGGTCCGTGCCAATTTGTACGCCCACATCGTCATTAAGGCGAATTGGCAAAGCAGCAGAAGCCACACATTTCGTAACAAGTTGACAATGAAAAGATTTATGGTTAACAGTTTCATTTAAAAGAAAGCCATGAATCAGGCCAGACCTGAAGCTTGTTTCCCCTGCAGCGTCGTAAACGAGGGGACAATTTGTTATTATATATCACGTATATCCCGTCTCGCCACGTGAAAACAAAATCACACGTCTCACACAACCCATCAGCCGCACGACCTTCTGGGAGTGTACACTTTCACAGCGGCATTCACCCAAAGACGAGCAAAACTCTGGATCCGTTTTGACGCACGGTGTCTCATCAGCAGCCAGGCTTGCTTGTGAACGAGTGAGTGCTGGTGAACTGCTCGTCTTGCAGACAAGGACCCTTCATTCTCTTTACGCTATGGGGTCCGAGTTCGCCGCCGCAACATTCTACAGCAATGCACAACTCAAATTTATCGTGAGCGTTGGGCGGGCGCGACGCAGTCAATTATTTTCAACGAACTTTCAACATCGTTAAACGCTGAGCGGAAAAGCGTAACCATGCCGCCTGCTCTCGTGTGCGTCGTGCATTCTGCCCCCGCGCTGCCCCCCCTGCCCGCTCTGCCCCCCCCGCTCTGCCCCCCCCCGCTCTGCCCCCCCTCTACCCCCCCCTACCCCCCCCCCCGCTCTGCCCCCCCTCCCCCGCTCTGCCCCCCCCCGCCCTGCTACTCCCCCGATCTCCCCCCCGCTCTGCCCCCCCCCCCGCTCTATACGAGGGAGGGACGCTCTGACGCTCGTTCATTTGTCAGCCCCCCGCCCAAAATGACCGCAGGCGGAGGATCATCTGTCGCCTGCTCGGAGCCGGCAATTTGCACCTCGCCAGATCGGGTGCGGCCGGGTGGTGCAGCACAAAGGTCGGGCAAGGCAAAGCGACTGGCACGGTCTTAATCGAGGGAAGTCACGCGAGGAGGGCTCCGTCATGGACGTGGCTCTGGACGTCAGAACCTGCCAGTCGCGTGCGTGTGGCCGGAGGCCCAATCCCACATCTCCACCCACTAATCCCACCCCCTGTCATCATCTCCACCCACTAACCCCACCCCTTGTCACCATCTCCACCCACTAATCCCACCCCCTGTCACCATCTCCACCCACTAACCCCACCCCCTGTCAACACCCCCGACAACTAATCTCATCCACCATCTCCACTCACTAATCCAACTCTTATTCTTAGCTCTTTCGGTAAAGTCACGTTGAAGGGAAACAATAAAATAATAAAATATATATATAAAACAATAAAAAAATTCTCACGACGTTTCGACCATAACACAAACGGTCGTCATCAATAAATTAATGCAAACCGACACACCTGATGACGACCGTTTGTGTTATGGTCGAAACGTCGTGAGAATGTTTTATTGTTTCATATATATTTTATTATTTTATTGTTTCCCTTCAACGTGACTTTACCGAAAGAGCTAATAATATGAATTACTGCAGTCACGAAAGCTTTAAATCAAAATTTAATCCAACTCTGTCGCCACCTCCAACCCACTAACCCCACCCTGTCAACATCTCCAACCACTAATCTCATCCACCATCCCCACCCACTAACCCCACCCTGTCACCATCTCCACCCACTAATCCCATCCACCATCTCCACCCACTAACCCCACCCTGTTACCATCTCCACCCACTAATCCCATTCACCATCTCCACCCACTAACCTCACCCCCTGTCAACATCTCCGACCACTAATCTCATCCACCATCTCCACCCACTAATCCAACTCTGTCGCCATCTCCAACCCACTAACCCCACCCTGTCAACATCTCCACCCACTAATCCCATCCACCATCTCCACCCACTAACCCCACCCCTGTCACCATCTCCACCCACTAACCCAACCTCACCTACTCCGCCATCTCCACCCACTGACCTCACCACCCCACCGCCAACTCAGGCCTCGCCGCCTTCTCACGGTACGCCAAGTTGAGACCCCTCGACCCCACGGCCACAACAACACCCCCGCCCCCTCATATGCTCGCCACAACCCCCTCCACCTCCTCCTGCCAGAGCCACCAGGCTGAGCTCGTCACACCCGTCGGACCGGGCTGGGCTGCTCTGCCTACTGCTGGCGCTGTGAGGTCACCGGTGCGTCGATCCCTTGGGGCTAGGGCGCGCCTTCGCACCCGCCGATTCACACGGGCGGAGATTCGTCTTGGGGGAGCGGGGGGGGGGATGCTGTGTCGGAAATTTATGCGATAAAAACAGCAGCTTTTAGAACCCGTGCTCCCTACCTGTCTGCCATCCGCGCTTTTGTCGAAAACGTTTCGGAGCGCGAGCTTTGTCGGCTCTTGGCACTCGAGATTTGGAATGCTCTGAAGAGCCAATCACAAACTAAAAACTCACCGATTTTCTCCGCAGACATTTTACCGTACGGCACGCTTTGAACCCCCTTTGTTGGGGTCTGCTGGGACTTCTAAAAACGTCAAATAAAATTTAAAAAGTAAAAATGTTTAATATGAATTTACACCGTCGTCATCATCAGCCATAGGAGGCTTCCCCTGTCACCTCAGCCCCTCTCTCGATCCTGCGCTGTGATAAAGCACCCGATACATGCGCATGAACAGATTTCGTCGCTCCATCTCCCCGGCGGACGTTCTCCCGGACGCGCTCCCGACCAGGACGCATCCTGCCCGACCTCTCGACAGTTTGAATCGCGTCGTTAACCGCCAAATGAACCTCATGGCGGTTCCCCGGGGCACCACAGTACCCCGGCTCTCGCATGACGTCCGTGACGCAGTCATCTTTAGTCTGTTGATGGTCGGCGATGCGGCGATGGACTCGTCTGGCCGAGCTGTGCACTACGATGCACCGCTACCACGGTGCGTACGAGCGTTCGGGGTTTCGGCGCAAATCGTCGTCCTCGCTGCGTTTCGACATCTCGGAGTGTGGCACTGATTTCGGATTGATTGGTACCCCAGTCGCGGAGTGAAGTACACCCCTGGACAAAAAAAATAGTGTCCCAGAAATACAAATGTTGAATTGCCTCGGCCCATTTTGTATTATTTGGTGCCCCGTGGTAGCGCCATCAGGATCATTTATTCTCGTACGTGCACGAGTCTATTTCTGTACCTCAGTGCAATTCAAAGAATGCATCTCAAACATGCTTCCTTGTGCATTATTCGGTATTTATTTATTTACTTATTGCGTCGAAGGTGTGCTGGAGTCAAGGTCAACCCGTGTAAGTGGCGCTAAGACTTTCAAATAAAAGTTAATAAAAACTCTTCATGAGCAACAACAACAGCCGCCATTCGCCACCAAGCGGCAGCAATGCCACCACAGCGCACGTGCCAGGCGAGGTGCACTTCAAGGCGGCGGAGCGAATGGCTCGCCATCGGAAAGTTGCGAATTCAAATCCTGGTTGAGGGGTTGACTCATTAACCCTCCGTTGTCGATAAAATTACGACCAATTTGTGGGGAAGTCAACAGTGGTTGTCTTGTGGATCGGCTCGCCCTGGCCAAGGGAATGTGGAATATCCATCACCAGCTCAGGGCTGTCAACACGAGATGAGCGCCTCATCGATGCTCAAGGGGCAAGAAGCGACTTTGACTTATTTTTTTAAGTGTCGAGGGCTTTGCTGCTGGCCAGTCACAACACAGTCCCAGGTGTTACAGATAAGGTGAGGCTCACGGAGCTATATAGCTCTTATTCAGAAGCAACCTGGCCACAAATTATAGCTCAGCGAAGTGGCTTATCACGTGGAAATTCATTGCAGCCCAAATACTCCAAACGCTTGTTTCTAAATGTGGAGGGAAAAAACCGGAGGACCCCGACAAAAATCCACGTGATCACGGAGAGAGAAAGAGACGCGCAGACTCCAAATATACAGCACGCGTCAGGGTCGGGATCGAACCCACGAACCTCCTGTACGCCTGGTGAGGTAGTTAACATCTCACCACCGTGGCGTCTTCGCAGGGAAATCTCTACGGCTGTACACAAGCGCACACGAGGTCACCCATTCATGAACCGGTGAGCTCGGAGACTCTTCTGTTACCAAACCGCTGCAAGAAATACTTGACGAGAACAAGATAATAAAACATAGGAAATTAAAAAAATCCTCAACACGGATGTGTTCGTGATGGCATTCAACGTGTTTTCTTTGGTTCTTTCGGTAAAGTCACGTAGAATGAGAATAAAATAATAAATTGATAAAATAAAATAACACAATAATATTCTCACGACGTTTCGGCCACAACACAAGCGGCCTTCATCGGGTGAAGGGGCGAGACTTTACCGAAAGAACCAAAGAAGATGAATCATTGCAGTCACGAAAGCTTTAAATCGAAATTCAACGTGTTGTTCAACTGGCAACCGCCTGGCCCGACCACCTCAATGTTAAACTACGGCTGCTGCTCTCCACACCAACGTCAGCCGTGTGAGAAAGATCAAAGGCAGTGTACCGTGTGGTTATTGGCGGTGTACGAAGTGGTCGGCGGTCTCTCCACGCGACGTTTCCAGCTCTCGCTTGTCCTCTGCTCCACGACTCCTCCACCTCCTCCTCCTCCTCCTCCTCCTCCACCTCCGCTCCCTTTCGACGTCGACTCCTCAAACACCCAGTCCTGCTCGTCGCTGCTCCTAGACAAACACATCCGCACCCGTGGGCACCACGACAATGAGCAGCGAGCAAACCCGTCCACATCATCCGTGTATCGCCACGGTGGCTGGGAGATGTTAACTACCTCGCCTGGTATGCACGAGGCCGTGGGTTCGATCCCGACCCTGACGCCTGCTGTGTATTTGGAGTTTGCGTGTCTATCTCTCTCATCATCATCACGGTGGCTAGGAGATGTTAACTACCTCGCCTGGTATGCAGGTGGTCGTGGGTTCGATCCCGACCCTGACGCCTGTTGCATATTTTGAGTTTGCGTGTCTCTCTCTCTCCCCGTGGCTGCGTGGGTTTTTCTCTGGGTCCTCCGGTTTTACCCCCCACATTTAGAAATATGCTTTTGAGTAGTTGGCTGCTATCAATTTCCACATGATACGCCACTTCGTTGGGCTATCATTTATGCCCAGGTTGCTGCTGAAACAGAGCTATATAGCTCAATGGGCCTTACGTAGTAAAATAAAACGTTTAACTTTTAATCTTGATTTTAAGCTTTCGTGACTGCAGGAATCCATACTCTTTGGTTCTTTTGGTAAAGTCACGTAGGTAGAAAATAAAATAAATCACGACGTTTCGGGCGCAACACAAGCGTGGGAAAGCAGTTGCTTTCCCACCTCATTCCTATTGAGTAGTTTGGGGGTAACTGTTCAGCATTGGGATGTTCTTATAGCTAAAACCTATTACATTGTATCTTTTTTTTAAGCTATGGGAGGAAGCTGGAGAACCCGGAGGAAACCTACGCAGAACAGCGGGAGAACATACAAACTACACGCAGAAAGGTGCCCGGGTCGGGACCACCCTGCCGCCCAATGCACTTAACACTTGGTCAGTTCTACTCGTGAGGGCGAGTGTGTTTGTGAGTCAGCGGGGAGCGGTGGTGTAGTGGTGAGCGCGCTACGAACCCGATGACCCGAGTTTGATGTGTGCTCATGGCCAACATCGGTGACAAATATCTGACTCAGTCCTGGACCTCCCCTATGTCGACTCAGCCTTAAACGAGTACCCGATGCGGTGTGTAAACGTCGCCACCGGGGAGACAGTCGGCATTGTTGGCGTTGGCCACCTACCCCCTCGTGTGCCGTGTCGGCCTCTATAGGTGCTGCTCGCTAAGAGCGCGTGCGCCAACATTCATCACGGCTATACGGGGCGGACCTTTGTCAAACTCACGTCCACGCGAGTGGCTCTGTGTGTGTGTGTGTGGCCTGAACGCACTGGCTGTAGCGCTGCCCCTGCACGCGGGCCTTGTATCCCAGGAGGTCGTTCTGGATGAGGATGAGGTTCACCAAAAGCATCTCCTTCCGGGCGAGCAGATGCTGCTGACGCTGTGGAAACACAACACAAACACACGGCACACCGCCAACGGTAATGCGTTTACGTTGAGTTCGATTTACCGGGTGAGAACTCGGAGAGGGCAATCCGAGTCTCATTTGGAGTCTAATTCGAGACTCGGATTGACCTCGGTCACTGAAATGTCAAAAAGCCATCCGGTGAAGTGCGGCAACAAAGCGAATAGAAGTGACAGCAGAAACAACCGCTTCACGCGAGAAATGGAAAACATTAACATTTCACGAGCATGAATCGACGCTGAACAATAACACTCCCGGCAATGCAAGTCGGCTCGGACAGGTACTTAAAAAAAAACGAATCGCAGCACGATTACAAAATTAAGCTACAGGAACTTTAAAGAGGTACAAGGTGACTTTTGTGCTCATATGTAAACAAACACACGGATATACGAGTGAAATGCAATGTCAAGTATATATCCGATATGAAGCGTTTCATGCACTGAGTTCATCGTGGTGGACTGCGAAAAATGTGATGCCGTTTCAGCCGCCAGTGCAGTCTTCTCCATTCAGCGTGGCCACCTGGTCATGGACAACTCAGCATGGCCACCTGGTGGTGGACAATGTGACAGACGTCCTCTGCAATGGACGGTGCGATAATATTGTGGACATTTAACTCAAAATCACACGCAGCCAATGCGTTTGCTCGTGCATGAGAGGATGAACCCTTTTCCATTCCGATTCCATTCCGATGACATACATCTACGTCATCAGAACGGAACAATGTCTTTAAAAGCAACGGCGCTACTACGGTTCTCAAGATTCAGCGGTGAACGGGGACACCCACCCTGCAACTTGCATAAGTCTCGGAAGGGGAAAGGGTTGAATAATCATGCCGCCCAGCGCGATTATTGAGTTGATCGATCGATTGATCAATTGCACGCACGCACGCACACACACATGTACGCACGTACACACGCATGCACGCATGTACACACGCACGCACGTACACACGCACGCACGTACACACGCACGCACATGCACGTACGCACGCACGTATACACGCACGCACGTACGCACGCATGTACACACACGCACGTACGCACGCACGTACACACACGCACCTACACAAGCACACACACACGCACGCACATACACACGCACGCACGCACGCACGTACACATGCACACACACACGCACGTACACACGCACGCACGTACACACACGCACGTACACACACACATGCACACACGCACACGCACGTACACACGCACACACACACGCACGCTCACCTTGCTGTCGACGTTTCCGCGCTCCTCGGCCTCTATCTCTCGCACCTGGTTCGCCAGGTCCTGGATGCTCGCCTCGAACTCCCGCTCCTCAAAATCGGAGAGCCCCACGCCCCGCAAGAGACGCAGCGTCTGCACGGAGTCCACGGGCAAAGGGGGCTCAGCCACAGCGGCGACGGAGGCGGCGTTCGCCGCTCCTTGCAGAGGCGCTCGCCCGGTTCCAGGACGGTGGCTGCCCCGGTTACTACTGCCGCGTGCATTAACTGTTAACGCACCGCGCATCATATGCGTCACGGTGGGCGTTTTAAAAGATCCCGTGACCTAATTCGCAAAGCAGTCGTAGGCCGTGCGCGCCAGTGTCACAGCCCGCAATTTGCCAAAGAAAATAACTGTACTACCGCTGTCTTCCTGACGCGAGTCCTTGAATCTCTTCATTGCTTTGCCCCGCTTTATCTCGCCTCTCTCATCCAGCGTCTGCCACGAGCACATTCTCTGCATTGGCTGTCATTCCACAAACCAGTCTTGGCCCATCTGCCATCTCCCCTCCGACAGATGCGGTCTGCTCAAGCCCACCGACTTTCAGACCGACAGCGCCTTCATTGTCTGCCCAGCGACAACGTTCACAAACCGCACCAGGCGCTCCGTATGAGGCTCAGTCAACCTGGGGGAGCCTTGGCCACCAGATCAAATATTCGCCGCTGACACGCTCCCCCAAGACACTCCCAGCACGCGGAGCGAAACATCGGAACATCGTGCCGCACAACTCGCGGTACGGCGAGAAAACACGGCGTCAAAAAAACACCCGCGGCAGCTACGACTACTAACACTTGCCTGGCAAAGGGCGGCGGTAAGCGCACCTCTACCACAGCCGGTCCTTCAGAGCAGCAGCAGCAGCACTCCGTACCTCTGGAGTCGAGTGGGCCCCGTGTCTATCGCGCGCGGGCACGGCCACGCGCGGGGGGAAAACAAGCCCAGCCAGCCGGTCACTTAAAACCACGGCAACTGACGCGGCGGCCGGCATCGGCTATCGCCACGGCTGCCACGGCGGCGGTGGCTGACGTCGACGACGATCGGCTGTCGGTGGCTTACGGCAAGGCCGTAGCCATGGAGTCAACATTGGGGGGGGGGGACCAAATCTTCCAGGGGGTCTGGGGGTGTCCCCCCCCCCTCCCAAAAAAATCTAAATTTGAAAACGAATTTCCTGCCTAAAATATAAAAAGAATTCACTAACACATGGGATGGACTTTTTATGTATTTTTTTACAATAATGTCTAATAGTGTATTGTATTACATTGCTCTGTTTTTTTTTAATCTTTTTTACTTTTTCTTGTTTCATTGTATGCAATGGCAGAGATCAGGGATTCATAAAGTACAACCATAACCACAATCATATGAACAGAAATCTATTTTAGAGCAAAATATTGGGGGGGGGGGGGGGACATTTTGAGCATATTGAAATGTTATAATTACGGCCTTGGCTTACGGTGTCGAGGGTGCTGCGTAGTGTGTCGCGCGAGGAGGATGGCGCGGGCACGCGCGAGCGCGAGCTGGAGCGGTGGAAGCTCACGTTCCTCTGCAGGGCCGCGGGGCCTCGCGCACGCACCTGCTGAGGAACACGCGCGCCGACATGCCCGGGGTCAGCTAAAAACCACACGCACGCGCATGGATTGTCAGTCGTGAAACGCTGTCCACCACGCGCGCGCGCGCCTGGGCGCGTGTGTGTGCGCGCGTGTACGTGTGTATGTGTGTGTGTGTACGTGTGTGTGCGCGTGTGTATGCGTGGGGAGCGGTAGTGTAGCGGTTAGCGCGCTGCGCTACGAACCCGGCGACACGGGTTCGATTCCTGCTCACGGCCAACACCAGTGACGATTACCTGAACCGGTCCCGGGCCTCCCCTAGGTCGACTCAGCCTCAAATGAGTACCTGGTGCAGTGTATAAACATCGCCACTAGGGAGACAAAGGCGGTCGGGCGTGGTGCTGGCCACCCACCCCCTCGTGTAGCGTTCCGGCCTTCATAGGTGCTCGCTAACAGCACTTGCCTCAACAGTATGTTAAGGTTTACATTTTGATTTAAAGCTTTCGTGACTGCAGTAATTCATATTCTTAGCTCTTTCGGTAAAGTCACGTTGAAGGGAAACAAAAAAATAATAAAATATATACAAAACAATAAAAATTCTCACGACGTTTCGACCATAACACAAACGGTCGTCATCAGGTGTGAAAAGCAACGGCAAGAAACATTTCGGGTCTTAATTGATTGTTCACGCTTACGGTGGCTTTCAGACAGCATACATTAATTTTTCGTCTCCCCCCTCCTCTTTTCAGAACATAGATGGACTCGTCCTTCTAAATAAACTGCCAAATCGCTGCCCGTGGCGCTAACGGTTAAAAATAAATAAATAAGCACGCCGTTTCAAAATAAATGTATCAATGCAAACCGCCACTTCTTTCAAATGTTTCTTGCGGTTGGTTTTTCACACCTGATGACGACCGTTTGTGTTATGGTCGAAACGTCGTGAGAATTTTTATTGTTGTATATATTATCATTTTATCGTTTCCCTTCAACGTGACTTTACCAAAAGAGCTAAGAATATGAGTATGTTAAGGCTATACGGGGGATCTGTGTCTTTTTTGCTTTGTCTTTAGGCGGTGGTGGCTATGCACACGGCCTGTAATCCAGCACTGTGGAGGTGAAAGTTGGTGGATCACGCAAATGTGGTGAAAATCCCTTCAACGTGGGTAGGCGTCGAGGATGAGCAATGCATTAAGCTCGCCAGAAGTTCGGTAGAGCAAAAATGTGGACTCCACCTATTCCCTCTGTATGGAAATCGAGTGTTTCCCCCTCGTACGCGTGGCTATTCTCCGGGTGCTCTGGTTTTCTCTCCCACATTTAAGCACTCATTCATTTGCCGATAACACTTTCACATATAGAGAACTGCAGATCTTGGGTAATTGTTGGCGCCGGCTCAGTGGGACTGCTTTCCAGCTCGTCTATGGTCACGTGTGATGGCGCATTGCAAGCTGAAATTGTTTCTATACACATCGGAAATATTTAGCGAGCAGTACGTAAGACAATAATGGACGAAATGCGTTTTCCATATTGGCAAAGTCCTTTTTCCACCCTGGATTTTATGTCTCCAGATTTTGGGCAACCCCTTTGATGAATTTGGTCAGTTTTCAATTCAAGGAAGTCCCAAACAGCAACGTAACAATATCCTTACAGTTTGGATCACAACGGAACCAATCATCGTGTCGTCCTATATTTCACTCTTCTTTGGCGCTTTACGAATCATGCAGAAGATAACACTCGGCACGGTCTCCTGACAATAAAAACAAAATTAACGCCGTTCATCTATTAAACTCTCTATTTAGTTAACTTCGAAAGTAATAACACACACAACGTTTAAGTAACCATAACAAACCGTCTCTCTCACCTGCATCGACTTTCAAAAGATTGCATCACCAGCAGTTGGAGTTAATGTCACACACACACACACTGCATGTTTTCCCCACACTATCAAAGCGTTATCTTGACCCTCTCCCCCATCACCTCTGTGAGGGACGGATGGTTCAAATCGAGAAGGCCGGCTGGCATAGCACCACACCCGGCCGCCTTTGTCTCTCAAGTACCGATTTTTATTTGACACGCTGCGCCAGGTACTCGTTCAATGAGGCCGCCGCGACCTCAGAGAGGCCCAGAAGCGGGTTCAGATATTCGCCACCCTGTGTTGGCTGTGAGCGGGAGGGATCGAACTCGGTCCTCCGGGTCTCACAGCGCGGTGGGTGCGCTGAACCACTACGCCGCCGCTCCCCCGCAAGCCCGACACGACGGCACTTTGCACTATCACCAACGTACGCACATTGAAGCCATTGCAGGCAGTGCCGGATTATCGTAGTAGCAAAAGTGGCGACATAAGTAGTAGCTATGGGGCCCCGCGTTTTCAAGGGCCCCCGCGCTAAATGCTTTCAAGCTATCAATTTCGGTTCAGTGATTCTGCACTTGCTCTATTACTATAGTACTATACCGCCTTCAGCTTTTATGAACGACTGGGTGTTTAAGGTTAGCGATTTGTCGTATTATCCGGCCGTATAGCAAATAAAAAAATACAAATACTTTACTATGCAAGTTAAAAATGTGTTTTTATATTTACTTTTTTTATTTAGAGCCCCTTTATAACATACACTACAGACCCCGCATTAGCTTAATCCGGCACTGTCTGTCACTGTACAGTGAGGGAAAAAAGAATTTGATCCCCTGCTGATTTTGTACGTTTGCCCACTGACAAAGAAATGATCAGTCTATAATTTTAATGGTAGGTTTATTTGAACAGTGACAACAACAAAATCCAGAAAAACGCATGTAAAAATGTTATAAATTGATTTGCATTTTAATGAGGGAAATAAATATTTGACCCCCTCTCAATCAGAAAGATTTCTGGCTCCCAGGTGTCTTTTATACAGGTAACGAGCTGAGACTAGGAGCACACTATTAAAGGGAGTGCTCCTAATCTCAGCTTGTTACCTGTATAAAAGACACCTGTCCACAGAATCAATCAATCAGATTCCAAACTCTCCACCATGGCCAAGACCAAAGAGCTCTCCAAGGATGTCAGGGACAAGATTGTAGACCTACACAAGGCTGGAATGGGCTACAAGACCATTGCCAAGCAGCTTGGTGAGAAGGTGACAACAGTTGGTGCGATTATTCGCAAATGAAAGAAACACAAAAGAACTGTCAATCTCCCTCGGCCTGGGGCTCCATGCAAGATCTCACCTCATGGAGTTGCAATGATCATGAGAACGGTAAGGAATCAGCCCAGAACTACATGGGAGGATCTTGTCAATGATCTCAAGGCAGCTGGGACCATAGTCACCAAGAAAACAATTGGTAACACACTACACCGTGAAGGACTGAAATCCTGCAGCGCCCGCAAGGTCCCCCTGCTCAAGAAAGCACATATACATACCCGTCTGAAGTTTGCCAATGAACATCTGAATGATTCAGAGGACAACTGGGTGAAAGTGTTGTGGTCAGATGAGACCAAAATGGAGCTCTTTGGCATCAACTCAACTCGCCGTGTTCGGATGAGGAATGCTGCCTATGATCCCAAGAACACCATCCCCACCGTCAAATATGGAGGTGGAAACATTATGCTTTGGTGGTGTTTTTCTGCTAAGGGGACAGGACAACTTCACCGCATCAAAGGGACGATGGACAGGGCCATGTACCGTCAAATCTTGAGTGAGAACCTCCTTCCCTCAGCCAGGGCATTGAAAATGGGTCGTGGATGGGTATTCCAGCATGACAATGACCCAAAACACACGGCCAAGGCAACAAAGGAGTGGCTCAAGAAGAAACACATTAAGGTCCTGGAGTGGCCTAGCCAGTCTCCAGACCTTAATCCCATAGAAAATCTTTGGATGGAGCTGAAGGTTCGAGTTGCCAAACGTCAGCCTTGAAACCTTAATGACTTGGAGAAGATCTGCAAAGAGGAGTGAGACAAAATCCCTCCTGAGATGTGTGCAAACCTGGTGGCCAACTAGAAGAAACGTCTGACCTCTCTGATTGCCAACAAGGGTTTTGCCACCAAGTACTAAGTCATGTTTTGCAGAGGAGTCAAATACTTATTTCCCTCATTAAAATGCAAATCAATTTATAATAATTTTGACATGCGTTTTTCTGGATTTTGTTGTTATTCTGTCTCTCACTGTTCAAATAAACCTACCATTAAAATTATAGACTGATCATTTCTTTGTCAGTGGGCAAACGTACAAAATCAGCAGGGGATCAAATGCTCATTTCCCTAACTGTAGTGCTATACTGCCTTCAACTTTTACGATCGACTGGGTGTTTAAGGTTAGCGATTTGTCGTATTATCTGGCCGTATAGCAAATGAAAAAATACAATTACTTTACTGTGCAAGTTATAAATTTGTGTTTTAATAAATATATATATATTTTTTATTTAAGGCCCCTTTATAACATTCGCTAGAAGCCCCCACACTAGTTTAATCCGGTACTGATTGCAGGGCGAGGTGGCTTCGGCATGCCCCACAAAAGACCGGCCGTGACATGCTGGGCGTCTTAATTCACCCGTTTATGAAAATGTAAAGCGTACGTACGGTGCCTTTTGTCGCTATCGGGATAAGTCGTGAAACGCCTAAGTCGGTTTGCTCTCCGGGTTGCCTGGGTGAAAAGTGCGCGCTGCGAAATGCTCGTGGAGTCCTGGCCCAGGCTGGCTCAAAGACTCAAGACAACAACGAAAAAAGGTCCGCCAGTCCACCGTTCAGAGATCATGGCTTTTCCCCCATGCCTCGTGTGTGCGTCGCGAGGTTGTCCTTTGACCCGATACTCGAACAACGCTGGCCAATGCGGGTCGGTGAAGAGCGCAGGAACAGTGGACGTGCCGTGGCTGAAACACGACACACGTTAATAATGCACACACACGGCGCGGTGGTGTTTTGCAAGATAATTTCTCCCCGGAGGCAGAGAAAAAAAAAACTGCACTGTAACGCGAATAGCTCTCTACGTGGGCCGTGCAGCCATTTTACGAGTGAGGCGTTCTTCCAGTGGAACGAGTTGATGGCCTCAGCAACCACTCCCGTTACCAATAATTGCACACACGCACACACACCCACAAAAAAAATTCTCATCGCACTTAAGTTGGCTAAATTCGTTTGTTTGACCGTCACGCGACGAAAGCTTGCTCTTAGTGGCAGGGCGTGTGGCAAAGAACCGCCCTCTACTGTCTGAACTGGAGTGTCGCTTGAAGAAGGGGCCTCAGATGTAGCCCTGTGGTAGCCACTTCCCGTGGACCGCTCTCGAAATCGAACGTGGATGGGTGGGCGGCTGCTCTGCGCGTGATCTGAAACGGATCAGGATAAAAATGTGGAAAAATAAAAACGCTCACCAATTATTATTAATCCAGTCTGCCGAGTGGGGATGTGATCCGATAGCCCCCCCCCCCCCCGCCGCCCGCCACTACCCACAACTACGGCGCCACCTGTGCTGCGGCAGTTCATTCGCTCATTATGAATTCATCACTGGAAGGAGGCTGCACGTGGTTGACATTGCCCCTTGATGCAAGGAGGCAACAGAGTGATATGCCCCCACCACCCACCTCGAGTTCCATCGCTGCCTCCGCGTGCCGATGACGTCTGAACTTGACAACAACCGCCCCCTTTCCCCGAGTCTCAACAATTTGCCACCGCCCTGGGACAAAACGCTTGAAGGTGGCCCACCGCCCTGCCTACAAGCCGGCGCCGCAGGGCCGCTTTCCGCTCTTTGTCGGCTCGCGCTCCGGGGCCATCGACCTCCCGGCACCCGTGACCCCGGGCGGCCGGTCACGCCGCCCACACGCGAACTTCACCGCCACCACCGCCACCACGACCACCTCACCTCTCCACCGGCGTTGCCCACGTTCCTGAAGGCGAACAGGCTCCAGATGTTGGGCAGCTCGAAGGTCTCGGTGCGCACGTCGTACGCCGTGGGCGACAGGGGGCCCCCGCCGCCTCCCGGCGACATCTCCGTCGCGCCCCCCTCCATCGCCGTCGGGCCGTTCCCTGGGCTCCCCATCGCGCCCCCCTCCGTCGTCGCCCCCCACGGGCGCCCCAGGGTGCCCGAGCCACCCCCGCCGGGCCCTCCGTTGAGCCGCCCGCCGCCAGGGAGCGAGGGGAGCGTTGAGAAGCGCGCGGGGAGGCGCCTCATGGAGCCGGTGCCCTCGCCGCTGCCCGCGTGACGGTTCATGGACGCCATGGGGCCGGCAGTGGCGATGGTGGCAGCGGTGGCAGCGGCGTCTGCGTGATTAGCGGGACAGACAGCGTCCGACGAGGACGACGTCAACATCGTCGCCGTCGTTTGTCAATGCTTCGGTGTCGCGGGTCGTCGATACGAGGGTCAAACTAAATTATTTTGGCGAGGCTGCTGCTGCGTTGGCAGTGGTGTACGAGCGCAAACAACAACGATAAAAACTCCACGCGTTTGTTGATAAACACTGCGTATGGCCTTCTTCAGTGTACATAGAGACGGTAGGGAAGTGGAGTCAGTGCCGGATTAAGCTAGTGCAAGGCCTGTAGCGTATGTTAGAAAGGGGCCCTAAATTTTAAAAAATATGAAAACACATTTTTTACTTGCATAGTAAAGTAATTATATTTTTTAATTTGCTTTACAGCCAGAAAATACGACAAATCGCTAACCTTAAACACCCAGTCGTTCGTTAAAGTTGAAGGCAGTATAGTACTATAGTAATAGAGCAAGTGCAGAATCACTGAACCGAAATTGATAGCTTGAAAGCATTTAGCACGGGGCCCTTGAAAGTGCGGGGCCCGCAGCATATGTAGCTGCTTTTGCTACTCGAATAATCTGACATTGGGTGGAGTGGATAACTTTCTTACTGAACTTACATTTTTATTTTACCTTGTAAGGCTATGTGCCTCTTTTTCAGAAGCGACTTGGCTAGCACAAATGATAGCTCAACGAAGTGGCTTATCATCGTGTGGAAATGTATCGCAGCCAAATACTCTGAATGCACGTTGATTCTAAATGTCGAGGGGGAAAACCCGGAGGACCCAGAGTTGGGAGAGCAGCACTAAATATACCGTTTGGCGTGATAAGAATCACATGATAAAAAAAACGTGGTTCACTTCGCGACGCATTCCCTGGCCCACTTGGAATTGTTTTGTTGAACGTTTTTGATGCACTGTGACACCTCTGAGCGGCTTTGTCATGGGATCACGCGAGATAATTATCTTTACAAACTACATATTTGGTGCACAAGCACAGGTTGCAAAGAAAACGCGACACATTCGTCAATAGCACTGCCATTGCCCAGAGCGTCGCCTATTATAGATTTGTGTTTTCTCTTTTAAGGCCACACATGGAGTGGTATTGACGAACTTGTTTCGTTTTTTAAAAAAAATTATTATCTCAATAATTCAGATAATACCCCCTCTCCCCACACGCAACCCTTTGTCAATCCACTGCTGAAAGATGGCCTCAATCTCCTTCCCATGTCAGTCGTGGGAGGGGACGTTTGACCATACTTCACCAGATCGGTGATGGAGGCAGGCCAGGACCGGTCCGGATATCGTTCATTATCCGTGGATAGCAATGGAACTCGGGCTGCTTGATTCACATGGAATTGCGTCATCCGCTGTCCCACCGCTGCCCTCACAACACACGCACACGAATAAAAAATCTAATCTAATTCGTAAGATCTGATCCGTGTCAAATAATGGGCTGTTGTCAAAGAATGGATCCATCGTTACGCCCCGTAATGTAATACAGCCAAGGACCTTTCTTGACCACAAAATATGTGTGAAACCGGTCTTACAGTGGTTTCATCGCTGCCTTAAGGGACGGCCACGGTTTTGAACAACTAATGAGTTCGTGCCCAGCAACACGTGCAGCGTTGCACATTTCGCTGGGTGCTCGGAACAAACATCATTACACTCTCACGTTGCAGCGCCCTTTGGAAGCGGTGGTCTAGACAAGGCTGAGGACGCTATGAATGCAAGTGTGGAGGTGGTCACGTAGCACGCACACACGCCGGGCGTATGTACGGACGGGAGGCGCGTCGCCTTCATCCTGTTTGCGAGCGGCACCGCATCTTTGCGAGATGCGGTTTCTGTCCGCTTCCTGCCTACGCGCGTGTCCCCCGTTTTTTGCTGGGGGTTTTCTTTTTCTTTGACATCAATTTAAACACAATGTGCTCGGTTCGAATGATCGAAAGCAAACACCGCTCAACAGCGACCGATGAGAAATTGCCCTATGTCAATCAATGCGAAGGTGTTCATGGGTGAATTTTCCAAAGAAACTTTCAGTTTTCTCAGGGCTCCGACAACAATCTCTCTGCCCTCCCTTCGCTCTGCTTTTAAGCAGGGCCATTGCCCGAAACATAAACCCATGTTTCAGTTACATTTATTCCCGCACCTCCGATTAGCACTGTCGGCTACAAAGAAGTTCAACATAGAAGGCAGTGCGACTGATCAGTGTGACGAGTGTTGTTTGTACACTATTTGCGCCAAAGCTAATATTTACGGTACAGTAAGGGCATATTTGCGAATGTGATCATAATGGACAGCTGAGCCATCAATACAGGATGTCATAGGAACATGCGGCATTCAATTGCTTCTGCCCTAGTAATCTATACGATTGTCTTTCACACGTTCTAGTCCGATCCCAAGTACGGATTGCAGGTACTGGTGCATGATAGTGGTCAACGAAGGGGCGGTGGTAGCTATACACGCCTGTAATCTGGCACTGATGGATCACACACAGAGATGTTGTGAAACTCCCTTTCCATGGGTGTCGAGGAGGAGCCATACCGTCGATTGTCAGGAGAAGGCGGTAGAGCAAAATTCGGACTCCACCTGTTCAATGTCTATGGGATATAGCGTTGCCCCCTCGCCTGCGTGGATTTTCCCGGGGCGCTCCAGCTTCTTATCACATTTATAAATGCTCATTTGATTGGCCGATAAAACCTTCATATTTAGAGGACCACAGAGCTTGGGCAATTGTTGACAGCGCCAGCTCACCCCATGGTTGCTGGTGCCTTCCCGCTCGTCAGATGTGCTTCTGCAGCCGTCTGGAACGCTCTTCCTTCCGATATTAGGAAGCCTATGCACTTTTAAATCATCTACATTGAGAACCAATTTGATTGGAACTGGTTCTTGTTTATAGTTTGTTGTCCTTCCCCTGCACCTCCGATTAGCAGGTCTGGCTATGTACGGTGCGAAAGAAGTTCAACGTTCGTAGTCTGTGGTTTCTCCATGTATCTCCGAGTCGCCCTCTCTAAGTCTCCGAGGGCGAGTGAATACTTTGCGGCAGCATGTAACCAGTTGCACTTATTTCATGGGACCTCCCTTGCCAGTACAGTGGCACCTCGGTATACGTCGGTAATTCGTGCCAGAAGGGGTAGGACTTATTCCGAAAATGACGAATACCAAACTAATTTTGCTAATAATAAATTAAGGGAAAGGAAATAATCCATTCCAGAGCTTTAGAAATTATATTTTATATGGCATATTATACATTAATGGAGTTGTATAAAAGAATTTAGACACTACTTATTACTAAAATGTATACATACATTTAAATAAATGCATAAATAAATTAAAATACCTTGCTGAGAGGAGTTGAAACACGTGAAAATTCACGGAGAGTTCTAGCAAGGGTTGTGCACTGAATGAGATCTACCAGGCAGACTGAGGAGCGGCGCTTTGTCTCAGTCGTGAACGGGGTCTACGCGGGTACGCGGTGACTCATCCCGACCCATACAAGTTCTCGCAAGCGCCTCGTATCACAAGCAAGACGTCGCATCCCAAGCAAGACGTCGTATCACAAGCAAGACGTCGTATCACAAGACGTTTTTTTCTCGTCAAAACACGACGTTTACCAAATTCGACGTATTCCAAAGCGGTCGTATACCGAGGTATGACTATATCAAAATATAAGAAGAGCTTTTACCCTTTCTGGCAATGAAACAAGGTCTAGTTAAGATGTTAAAACACCAAACTGAAACCTTTTGCAAGGAATCGTGTCTGCATTAACCACACACACATACTCGTGGTGAACGTGCACAAGAAAAAATGCAATGTTTTTGTTTCGTGTTTGTTTTTTGTTGTTGTTTGCTGCTTTCACACGGCTGTATTATTGCCAGAAAGTGCAAAACACATTCTCACGTTTTGATTCTGGCAAGGGAGTGTCCCATGATGTAGCTGTTCGCGCCGGGCTCTCAATGCCCCGATAGTGGCATTGTCTTGGTGCTGTTCGCGTTTTGGCGTCCTCCTCTGGTCTGACACCGTTCGAGACGAGGCTCGAAAGAAGGGCTGTCTCTGGTGTGGACCAATCAGTTTAAAAGACAATGCATCATCATATACTACCAGAGCGTGTTTTGTTTGCATGTTCACCACGAGTATATGTGGTGAATGCCGACATGATTCCTTGCAAAATGTTTCAGTTTTGGTGCTTTAACATTTTTACGCAGCGCCCCCCTTTCTATCTCTCCCCCCTTGCTCCTCCCCCCCCCCCCATCTTACCTATATAGCCTCTTGTCACGGCAGCCCTCTCGGCCCACTTCAGCAATTGTCTCTTGCGCCCGAAACGTCGTGATTTATTTTATTTTATACCCACGTGACTTTACCGAAAGAACCAAAAAGAGTATGGATCCCCGCAGTCACGAAAACTTCAAATCTAGATTTGTACGGCTGTTTTATTATTCCTATAAGTTGAACTTATTGTTATAGGCAGTAGTAGCTCTGCAAATGCGATAGCCACTTCCGCGGTTCGTTGTCCGACACACAAAGGGGTTGCATTGTTCCACGGGAGCTCCTCTGCGTGTGACGATTGTGGCGGTGTGTTGGGGGTTGGGGGAAAGCAGGCTGCGAAATATTCAATTTTCTTGAGTCGATTGTTGCCAGAAGATCAGATGCATCGCCCAGTAGCTCGGTGGCTTTGTCCGCTGTCAAACAAATCACGAATGATTTAATAAATCTCGAGCCACGGGCATGCGGGCCGCGAACACGCCCCCGGCTAACGTGGGTGACGCGCCCGGCTCTCGTGGGTGTCGCCCCCGGCTCACGTGGGTGACGCGCCCTCTCGGCATCGCGCGTCGCACGCGGCCGCATGGGGGGGTACGCAGGGAGCACCGGGGAGTTTCCCCACCTCTGGTGGGCGCCTCCACACTGTGCTTGGCTGTTGAGAGGCACGGTTCCAAAGTCCCCGGACTAAAACAGGTTGCGACAAATTCTGGTGAGATTTGGAGCGGCGCGGTGGTTGAGAATGTCGTCTCCCTCGC